CTTTAAAGATGGGTAATTATACAAGAGGGAGAGAGACACAGGAGGCTGGAGGGACCTGGCAACAGAGAAGGTTCCCCTGAGGAAATGATTTTGCACTGAGCTACACAAAAAAATTCTCAGTGACAAAGAGAGATAGGAAGCCACTCAAAGCAAGAGGAAATGCCTGTGGAGACAACTCCGGATGAGAGGGTGTGAGAGAGATGCATGGGCTGAAAGAAGACCGAGTCTCCAGTATGGTGATGAGGGCATGATAGGAGGCAGACCGGTCACATAGGTGTGGACCAGCTTGAATAGGGCTTCACAGTCTTTCTCCCATGCCTAAGCCAGAGCAGGCTGTGTTCTGAAGAGGTCTCTACTTGAGGGTGGAGAGTGGATTAGAAAGAAAGCAAATGCAAGCAGTCTAGTTGGAAAGGTATTGTGTGGTGTGGGTAGAGATGAGGCTACCTCCAAAAGGATGGTTCTGTTAGACAGAAGACAGTAGCATGGACTGTGGGTACCCTTAACAGGTGATGCTGATAGAATTTGATAGTGTTAGAGAGGCTGGTTGGAGGAGGTATAAAAGGGTACTCTTAGGATGACCATTAGGCTGTATGCAAATGGAAGTGTTGTCTTGCCCAGACAGTACATACACAGCAGCATTAATTAGGGTTGGAGCACAGTGAACCATTGAACTCTCCAGAGTTGGGATGGCAACCAAGTGATTGATGTTTTACACAATGGAGTAAGTCCTCAGGGATCACTAGGGACCACTTCATCATCTGGTATGAATGATGCCCAAAATTTCTTTCCCATACAGCTGGCCAGTGTCATTTTGGTTCATTACTTGTGAAGAGTAGGTGTGATAGTTAATTTGGCTCAGTTTAAGTGGATTTAGAAATGCCTAGGAGATTAGTAAAACACACTTTGGGTATGGTGGTGAAAAATCTCTAGAGTCTGTTAGATCACGGGCCTCTGACCCAATGAATGGATTAATCTCTAGATAGACTTATTCTATGATGGCATTTTGGGAGGTGGTAGGAGACAGGAAGTTGGGACTGGTTAGGAAGTAGGGGGTGTGTCCTTGAGGGCTAAATCTTGTTCTGGTTCCTTGTACACTGTTCTCTCTGCTGCATGTCCATCATGGTGGAAGTGCCTCTGCATGCTGTGTCTTTCCACCCTGATAGACTGACACTCAACTGCGGGCTAATGTAAAATAAATCCTCCATTGATGTTCTTGAGTATTTGACTAGTACTACGGGTCTTTTTTTTTTCTTCCTTCATCTTTGAGGCTGTCTCCTTGCCCCCAGCTATGTTTTTTGATGGGTCTCATGTAGCTGTTCTTGAAGTAATAGAAGATAGCTGAGGGCTTGAACTCCCAAACCTTCCAAGTGCTGAGATTACAGGCTTGTACCACATGCCCAGCTTCTGTGGTCACATATTGTGGTGTTGATCTGATTTCGGGTGAGACTAAGAACTGCTTGACCCATCACCCTGTCTTCCTTGCATTTCTCCGTTTGATACAAGAGACATGGTGGCATTCTGCAAGAGCTCTGAGTAGGTGAGGTTAGACACCGGAGCATGAATTCTACTGCTCCTTAGACCAGTTGATGGCTTCCTCTGGAAAGGACATACTCTAGTGTCTGATGGTTCTTTAAGAAGCTTTCTGTGAGGATTAACTGAGCTAATAAATACAAAACCATTTAAACAAGCCAGGTACTTGTGGCTGAAGGAATGTTTATCACCATTCCTCCGTCTCAGTGAGGCTGTCCCTGTCCTCACTTTGAAAGAGGACTGGAGGAGATTTTGGCATTTGAAGATTGAACAACTTGAGTCCATAGTGTCTACTTGGTCGTGACAACATGGACTAAGGAAGAGACCGTATGTATTTTTATATCAGTAAAACTTACATTTGCATAGTTTGTGGTCATTTGTCCAAGGGGTTCATGGAGACAACAGCTTATGCCTTGGACTAAAACAGCTTGATCGGGAGAAGATGCACAGGTGAAGATGTATTTATTTGAGGTAGGCTCTCATGTACTCCAGGTTGATGGCCATTTGTCCTTAAAACTTAAATTGCTGATCCTCTTTAAAACTCAGTTTCCTCATCTGTGAAGTGGACACAGTCCTGGGGCTGTGAGGAGAATGGGGTACTAATGGGGAGTAAGTATCTGGTATAAATGAAAGCTTTTTAGATGTTGGCAGTTTTGTTAAAGCATGCAGGTAAATTTATCGAACTTTGGTCACTGTGTGCAAAGTTCTACACGTCTGTTATTACTGCTCAGGTCTTAACGACTTTTGACAGCATTCCAAATAGGTGTGGTGTGAGCAGGGTGTTGGTGTAGCTGATTTAGTGTCCTCTGAGACTATTTTCAGATTATTTTCAGCAGCAACAGCATCTTACTGTGTTCTAACCTCTCCTTTCCTGGCTCCAGCGCTGAGGAAGTGTGGTGAATAGTGGCAGTTTCGGTAGGAAGTTGAGGAGGTTAGGATCTGTTGATTTCCTGCCATGCTCTTCTGATATTGAAATCACCACATGCTTCCTGAAATATGTGTTTCTGGGTGACTTTGTTGCTTTTGGGTTTTCTCAAGATTTTGAAATAAGATTGGCTTTCGGTTACCAGCTTGGTGCCAATATCAAAATGTATTTAAAATTATTCCGGGAAGAAGTCAGAACTTTTAAAGCTAAAAGTACTAAGCACAGCCTCTTCATCCATCACTCCAGGAATGTTCTAGATGATTGATAGCATTCTTTGAACATCTTGTTGCCTGTGCTTTGTGTTTTAGAATGCAGACAGTGGGTCTTCCTCCAGGGGGTCTTCCTTCAAAGTTTCTTTATTCCTCCTCTTTCCTTCCGTTGTTTCTTTGTTTTAATTGCTGAGGCATGAGCAATTAGGACTTGTCTCAAGTCCTTATCTTATCGGGGCCTACCCCTGAGCTCTACCCTAGCTTTTCCTTTTCAGCCAAAGCACCGGCTCCTCTCTGCACACACCTGACTGACCTCTGCGGCTTCACCCTTGTGTAGGTTCTCTTGGTGCTGGTGTCACAAGACAAGCAGTACAGCTGTTCACTCTGTCCCTTAGGACCCATCTTTGAGAGTGGGACACTTGTCCCTGTCAGCTAGCCCACTCATGCTTCTGATTCAGCCCTGTGCTTTTTCTTGAATGATGTTTGTTGGAGATAGGAAATTTACATTTCTTCCTGCTTCCCTTGTCTCTTGTTTCCCATGGGAGACAGCCCAGATCCTTAAGGAGGTGCACACGTTACTTAAGACACGCCCATGCCAGCCCTGTTTTCACCTCTTCTCCTCACGGCCTGTCTGGTTACGCACTTCATTTGCTGTCTCTTAGACGGATGTGCGAGTGAGTCTCTGTTCTATGTCCTGCAGTTTGGTGCCTTTAGGACAGTGACCTTCACAGTGCATTGCAAAGGTTTGGTACTCTACTCTGGTTTCCCATGCTGGACTACGTGCACCTGCTTTTCCTTTGATTCCCTGGTTCCAGCACTTGTCCAGGATTCGTTCAAATGACCCATTTTCTATAGATGACCTTCTTCCTGTGTCCAGACACATTTCATTACCTTAAGTTATAGTATATTCTACTTTAAGAAAAATTAAAAAGTTTTCTGTGTGTGCGTGTTTGTGCGCACTCACACGTGCACACACACACACACACACACACACACACACACATACACAAGACTGAGTTTGGAAATGGCAGGGTTAAGAACAGTGTGGAGTTTTAGTTAAGTATTCTGTCTGTGGAGGCCAGGAGCCAATCTGTTGTTTCTGTGCACCATCCACTCTGTTTTTTGAGACAAGGTCCCAGGACTGTAACTGACTGTATAGCCAAGGATGACCTTGAACTCCATTCCCCTGCCTCAACCTTCCAAGTGCTGGGACTTCAGACCAGGGCACCACACCCTGTCATAAAAACATTTTGATTTTTTATTTTAAAATCACATTTGTTTCTTTTGTGGTGTGTTCATTTTTGTGTGATGGCACTAATAAGAAGTCAGAGGACAGCTTGGTTGGGGCAGTTTTCTTCGACTGCATGGTCTTGGGAATGGAACTCCGGTCATCGGGGTTGGTAACGAGTGCTTTTACCCACTGAAGCATTGAGCCCCACTGTTTTATTTTTTAAGATGAGAGTCTCATGTAGCCCAAGCTGGCCTCACGTTTGCTTTCTGGACAAGAGTGACCTTGAGCAACTTGATCCTCCTGCTTCCACTTCCTGAGTGCAGGGATTACTGGCATGTTCTTCCACATCCTGTTTGTATATGTACACATATGTGCAGGCACATATATGCATGTGTGTGCCTGTGAAGGCCACAAGTTGACGCTGGCTGTCTTCTTTAGTTGTCTTCCATGTTATTTTTTTGAGACAGCCTCACTGAGCTGGGCTTACATGTCTAGGTAGACTGGCTAGCCCGTAAGTCTCAGGGATCCTCCTGTCTCTGCCTTCTCAGCCCTGAATACAGGTGCATGCCGCTGTGCCATGCTTATACATGGGTGCTGGGGACAGAATTTAGGTCCTCATGCCTGTGCAGCAAGCACTTTACTGAAGGAGTCATCTCTCTACGTCCTGTTTTTGGTTGGTTGGTTTGCTTTGATGCTGGGGATTGAATCTAGGGCTTTTTTATGTGTGACAGACCACAGCTCCAGCCTCCTGAACATGTATTTTAAAAGTAGCTTGTTAAAGGCTAGTTCAGTGGATAAATGTATTTGCTACTAAGCCTAAAGACCTGTTTGATCATTGGGACTTACATGGTGGAAAGAGAAACCTAGATCCCACCAGTTGTCACCTGACCTACACACATATTCATATTGTGACACATGCTTGTGCTTACATGTGTATACACACAAAATCAGTAACTGTAACATCAGTAGCTTGTTAACTAAAAGTTCTGGAGCATATGCGATAGTTTAATGTGTATTCTGAAAGCATGCCTTCATTGTTATTTTAACCCTTAAACAAAGAAAATCGTTTGCTCTTGTATTTATGTGTTTACTTATTTATTTTTAGGAAATCCACACAAATGAAAAGGAAGTAACAGAGAAGGAAGTCACTCTTCACTTGTTGCCAGGTAACGGCCATGTTATCATATCTCATATATAGCTTGAGGCCAAAAGATTGATTACATCATCCCTAGTGTTGCTATATATAAACTTCTTTGTTTTCATCCTCTAGCACATAACAGTAATAATGTATCCTGACAAAGATGTCAAAGTCTTTAGTAACTATACACCTGGCTCTGGATGTTGCAGCATTTGGAAAGAATTTTCTTTGTTTCCCTTTTCTCCAACCTGATGGAGATAATGGGAAATTCTCACTCCTTTCACAATGCAGTGGGACCTTTTGAGGGTATCCTGCTTGGCTTCATCCATCTTTTCTGGTCTCCAATCTAGAATGTCCCATTCCCTGGAAGAATCCCATGGTCTGCATGCTTTCTTGCTGCCTCAGTCCATAGTTGGTCTCAGGTATCACAGCTGCCGGGCCTCCCAGCACAGGAGTAGGGGAGGAGTGAGGTGGGAGAGGCTCACCTGGGTGTCTGCTGGTGGATTTCAGCGCAGGTACCAGAGATGCTGGGCCACTGGAGCTTTGCTCTGAAGTCATTCATTATGAAGGAGCCTGGGTTGGTTGACTGCTTTTGAGACAGAGGAGAGTGGCTGACGGTCATATTAAAGTTTAATCACTTCTGAGTTCAAGAGCAGAGACCTCCTGGTAGTATATCTCCCTTTGCCACTGGTATACACCTTTTCACATTTTTCCCCAGTCCGAAATCATTTCTTTTTCTAAGTGTTTTGTTTATTTTGAAACTATGTTTCGAATGGCGCAGGCTGGCTTGGGATTCGTAGCCCTTCTGCCTCTGTCTCCAGAATATCGGACTTTCAGATGTACATGCTGTTTTTGTTTTTCCTGTAATATATATTTTTCTGTAACAAGGATGCCTGACTTTTATTTTAGACATTTAAATAATGATTAAAATTTCAAAGGCCTTTTTTTTTCTTTAATGATGGCCTAAACTTTTATTCATCCTTCCTATGGTTGATTTTCCTCCCTCCTTGGAATTCTAGACTCTGAAATTAACCTCTAGTTTTAACTCGATGTTAAATATATTTTCCACCTTATAGAACCTGGCAGCCTCTTGTAAGACAGGTAACTTCCCGGTCCCTTGGCCTAAAATAAGAGACTTTCCAGACCCCAGCTGCATGGCAGACAGCACTGCATGCCATGCTGCAAAAGTTCTTAGCAGATGTGCTGTGGTAGCCACTGCCCACTGGTTTCCTGTCTCCAGTACATGACTCTAGGATGAGGCACTTCTGGTCTTGGGGAGTTGAACTATAAGAAGGCTTATCCACTTATCTTTCACCTTGACCATAGCTAAGGTACTTTTTCTGGGACTGTTTTAAACCCCAAACAGGCCCCAACTTGATTGTTTTCTTCAAACACTGTGGTCTCTCTGAGGCTGACCTAATGACGGGGCCATCTTCAGGTGTTTCCGTAGTGCTTCCGTTGCAGACACTGCCTGCTTGAGTAGGAAGAGGAGATAGTCTGAGTGACTGAAAGCTTAGTCTTCATCTTCATTTGGAAGCTAGATTAAATGAATTTTTAGCCAACAAGTGAATTCCGAGGTGAAGAAAGCCAGAGGGAGACCCTGTAGGAAAGATGGTTGTCTGCTGGGTGACAAGAAAGTTCCTTTGTTTTTCTTTTGTAAAGTTTGCTCTCCATTTCCTGCATGTCCTTCTTTCCTGTCCTTTACCCAAACACCAGGAGGGTTTCTCTGCCTCCATGGAACAGAGCATGCTTCCCTAGCTCCCAGCCCCAGTGGGTTTTGGCTGTGGAGTCTGTCTTCAGGAACTGTAGTGTCTCATGTGGGCTGAGTGCCTGCAGATGGAGCGCGGGAAGTGGCCCATAGAGAGGAAGTGCTTTGAACTAAGAGACAGTCCTCACCCCACCCCTCCCCTCCGCACCCCACCCCACCCCACCCCATCCCACTCCCATGGCTGCCTTTCCCCTCTCATCCTCCAGCATGGAGTCAGGATGAGATGCAGGTGTTAAGGCTTCAACACCCCTGTCATCCAAGGAAGCTACCCAGAAGCCCTGGCTTATGCAGGGGAAGGGGTGAGCTGGCCAACCTGTGGCCTTTGCTTCACTCAGAGTGTCATTGCTGTGAGACACCTGCTGGGCAATGAACACCATCATCTACACTAGAGAAGGTAGCTGAAAGTGGGCGCATCCCAGCACGAGGATTCCTGAGAAGTTAGGCCAGCCCAGGCTACATAGTGAGCTCAAAGCCATGTGTGTAATATAGTGAGACCCAGGCTCCAAACCAGGGAGAGAGAAGAGGCTTGACATGAGGATCAGCTGGGTGGAAACTCCCATTCTCATGATGAGAGGTCAGAGGAATCCCGGCATGAAGATGTCCCCGAGCCAGTCAGTGACTTTCCTTGCTCTGCCTCAGTTTCTCTCCTCAGTTTGCAGCTCTTCTTCTTTGGAGTGAGCTGTATTGTGTATTTGTTTGTCCCTGTGTAAACAGTGGGAAAGCTTAGTGCTCACATTCCGTGCATTCCCTGAGGCTTCTGAGGAGAGCTTGCTTTGGCTTTCATCAGGTGAACAACTGCTCTGTGAAGCCAGCACAGTCCTGAAGTATGTGCAGGAAGATTCCTGTCAGCGCGGCGTCTATGGGAGGCTCGTCTGCACGGACTTCAAGATTTCCTTCTTGGGGGATGAAGACTCGGCCTTGGATAATGGTGGGGTATGTATGAACTGCATTTGCTAGGTAGGGAAGTGCAGGTGAGACTCCATTGGTTTGCCCGCACCTTCTCCCTCCTCCCAACAAAAACCAAGGACCAGTGTCTCCTATCAGTGCTTGCCCTTCAGGGGCTCCTTCCGCCTGGAGGACCACCTAGAAATTGCCACCCGTTCTTCATGATTCCCTTGCTTTTGCCCTTATAAGTTGACACCATCAACTTTTTCCCAATTTCTTCTGCATTCAGCACAGCGTGAGTCACTTGTTGGAATAACCTCACACACACACAGTTCCTCATGTTTCCTCTCTGCTAAGCACTTTCACAGATTCGGGAACCGAAGGCTGAGTGAAACTGATGAAGAGTGCAGCCTTTGAGCTTGGGTTGTTTCTGTTTGATCTGAACCTAGTTGCAGGGTCAGTGTGAGACTTGTGTCTACTTAGGAGTGAGCCGTAGGAGAGGAACAGCTGTGTTTCCCAGTGGAAACTTACCAGGGCTCTGCCGGACTGACCCCATGTGTCAGCTGCTCTGGACCCCTTTGCTTTGTTCAAGGCTGGCCATCTGCTGCAGAGCTTGGCTCCTAGTCCCGAGCACAGGCAGCTTTGCCAAAACACACGACCCTCCCAGCGTTTCCCACAGCTTTCCAGGGAGCTTTGCTTTCACCTGTTTGCATTTTTGTGCAGAAATACTGTCATGTCCTCACTTGATTTGGGGGCACAGTGGGTTTGCTGGGTGCAGCCCACAAGTGGCATGTTCTTCCTGGGTTAAAACAGCTGGTCCCCGGGGATTCTCTTGCATGGACTGCTGCATCCCTGCCTTTGGGGGATGTGGTGGCTGCCTCAGTTGCTCAGTGCCCAGTGGAGAACAGTGATTTAAAGGAGTCACCCTTCTTGTTTCCTTTGATTTTTTTTTTTCTTTTTCCCTTTTTAGGAAACTCAGTTTAAGAATAAGATCATAGGAGTAAATGATGTTCCACTGCACTGTGTGGATCAGATTTATGGAGGTGAGTGTCTCCTTCCCCTGCCCTCCCCAGAATGTATAGCAATGATGATGGTATTTCCAGTCTGCTAAAGTGTTATGTAAGTTCCTGTGTGCAAAGCAGAGTGTGGATGGAAGGTGCAGCATGATCTAGCCTGTGCTTGGTTAGAAGTGAGTACACCGGCCTCGAACCCTCATCTCTCGCTGTCAAATTCTTTTCTCTTCAGGTGTGTGTGTGTGTGTGTGTGTGTGTGTGTGTGTGTGTGTAAGAGAGAGAGAGAGAGAGAGAGAGAGAGAGAGAGAGAGAGAGAGAGAGAGAGAGAGAGAGAGGAAAACTTGCAGGAGCTGTTCGGTTTTTCTTCCTTGCATCCTATGTGTTCTGGGGATAGTGGCAAGCCCCTTTACCCACTGAGCCATTTTGCTGACTCACCTCCTTTTTATGGAGATAATTTTTGTTTCTTTGGTTTTTAGTTTGTTTGTTTTAATGGAACTCACTAGTGTCAACCCTATGGTCTTGCCTCTGGCTCTTCCTCCTGAGTGCTGAGTTTTTAGGAGGAAGCCACCTCACATCTGAAGCCTGTTTTTTTCTAATATTCTGTGTTAAATACTGATCAGATGAGGTTCATTATATGCAAGTAATGGGGATACACTTGATACACATTGTTTGCTTATGTGTCAGTGTCCTTAGAAAAGGAAGAAAAGCTTGAGCCAGGCATGGTACTGCACACCTGTATTCCCAAGAGGCAGAGGCGGGGCCATCTTTGAACTTGAATCTAGCCTGGTCTATAGAGTGAATTCCAGGATAGAAACCTTGCCTCCACTCCTCCCCGCCCCCATGCTTGATTGTATAACATTAGGATGTCCTTTCTGCTGACTTAAGACTGTCCTTCCAAGCCTCACTCTGTTCTGTGTTCTTCATTTTGGGGTTCAGGACATTTTCAGAAATTGTTCAGCCTGGGTTGAAACAGCTGGCACTCACAGGATTTGGTATTCACAGAATATGGTAGCCTCAACACCAGTAGGTGCTGAGTGAGTAGTACAGGCGCTGGAGCAGGGAGAGAGATGTCAAGAGGGGCTCTAGTCATAAATGTAGGAGCCGACTAGCATGAAAAGGTATTCCAGCATGCCCCCTTCCATCCTTTATGATCTCAGCTTTTGCAGTTTTGCAGCTTTTCCCTTTTAAATATTTATTAATTTTTAAATTTTATGTATTTGAGTGTTGGCCTATATGTGTATGCACCACATGCATGCCTGGTGCCTAGGAAGTACAAGTTGGATCTTTAGAACTGAGGTACAGATGGTTTGTGACCTCCCTCCATGTGGGTCCTGGAAACTCACCCTGTCTTCTGGAAGAGCAAGTGCTCTTAACTGCTGTGCTATCTTCCCAGACTCAAGGAGTGTGTGTGTGTGTGTGTGTGTGTGTGTGTGTGTGTGTGAGAGAGAAAGAGAGAGAGACAGACAGACAGAGACAGACAGAGACAGAGAGACAGAGAGAGAGACAGAATGAGAACTCCAATCAATCCCTGGAGCAGGAGCTACAGGCAGTTGTGAACATCTTGACATGAATGTTGGGACTCGAACTCTGACCCTCTGAAAGAGAAGGAAGTGCTTATAGCTGCTGAGCCATTTTTCAGTCCCATCAGAGCTGAGTTTTCTTCAGGCTGTTGGAGTGTTGGAGTCTGGTCTTATATTTACTCTAGAGAAATTAAAAATCCTGCTGGAAGCCAGACATAGCTAGCACTTTGGAGGCAGAGGCAGGTGGATCTCAGAATTTTGGATCTCAGAGTTTGAGGCTAGCCTGATCTACAAAGTGAATTCCAGGACAGCTAGGACTACACAAGGAAATTATATCTTTAAAAACACCAACCAGTCAACCAACCAATCAACCAACCACCTGCAAGAAATAAAACAAAAAACCGAAAGGAATCCTGCTGAGAGGGACGTGTCCTTAGAGGCTGACAGTCTTCCTGTCCTTTAGCATTGCCATGTGACATTCATTCCTACTCATGATTCTCACATTGATTGTAGTGTTTGATGAGAAAAAAAAACCTCTGAGTGGACAACTGAAGAAGTACCCCGAGAAGCTTGTTATCCACTGCAAAGACCTGCGGGTGCTCCACTTCTGTCTGAGGTACACAAAGGAGGAGGAAGTCAAAAGGGTAACTAGCTGCATGTGTTTTTAGGTTTTTCCCATAAGTTTCCTCCAGGGACTGTAGGCTTGGCTTATATCCCCTGAAGGTGGAAGGGCGCCTTTCACTTTGTGTAGCTGAAATCAGCTGTAACCAATCTCATTGGATGACTCTGGGAGATAGTGGCCAAGTATGACTGGATTGACTTGGCATGTGCTTTGAGTCCTCCAGTTCATAATGCTGGCCGCCTAGAAGCACTGCAGGGTGGGAAGTGATGAGTTAGGTAAGGGTCCACTGGGGAGTGCTCAGGCTGGTCCTCATCCTGACAGTCTGTGTAAATCAGGAGTGCTGCTTTCCAACTCTTTTTTTTTTTTTTTTAAAGATTTATTTATTTATTTTATTTATGAGTACACTGTAGCTGTCTTCAGACACACCAGAAGAGGGCATCGAATCTCATTACGGATGGTTGTGAGCCACCATGTGGTTGCTGGGATTTGAACTCAGGACCTCTGGAAGAGCAGTCAGTGCTCTTAACCGCTGAGCCATCTCTCCAGCCCCTGCTTTCCAACTCTTAAGAATTGTGTGCTTACCTCTACAAATTAGCAGTTGTGTGTGGACCTAGAAACAGGTCACATGAGCAAATTCAGGTCTCCAGGTGCACCCTTGGAGATACAGCGTTATTTCCTGGTGGTCACAGCAAGTTGCAGTCAGGAAGTGGCTGAACCCGTTTGCTGTGGTTCATTATAATTTCTTAGGTTTTTCTTGTCAAGACAGTGAAGGTCGTCCCCCCTCTCATAGTGCTCACGTTAGGAAAGCCCAACAAGAAGCCAGTTTGCTTATACTGTCTTATCTGCAGTAAATTCTGCACGCTATAGGTGATGCCTTTATTCTCTCTCAGATAATATGGTAGATGAGTTAAGGTAGGAAATGTGATTGTAGAATCTCTTCTGATCAGGCAAAGAAAGCTGTAGATGGAGAAGATTCCCCAAGAGACAAAGCATTTCCTTTCGAACAGTTATTTTAGTCATTTATCCAAACATACTTTTGGTTAACACAATAAACAGAAAGCACAGTAGACATATTTTTCTTTTCCTTTCAAGACAAGGTCTTGTGTAGCCCAGGCTGGCCTTTCTGTGTAGCTAGCTGGGAATGACCTTGAAGCTTTGCTCCTCCTCCCTCTACCTCCTGAGCTGGGACTATAGGCATGTGCTCCTAGGGCGTTGTGCATCCTACCAAGCATACCACTAACTGAGCTACAGCCCTAGTCCCACTCCTTCGTTGTCTAGAGGACCCACAAGTGATTCAGCCACGTCCTGTTACTGTCTGATAGCAGCTGTGAGTCTTAGACATGTTGAATACTTGGAACTGACCTAATAGGGCAGTTGGGATTTTTAACTCTTGGTTTTTGGGAAGTTAGAGTACGTTTTAACTTTTCCCTAGAAATTAAGAACTCTTATGCCAGGAGGTGGTGGCACACGCCTTTAATCCCAGCACTTGGGAAGAAGAGGCAGTGGATTTCCGAGGCCAGCCTGGTCTACAGAGTGAGTTCCAGGACAGCCAGGGCTACACAGAGAAACCCTGTCTTGGAAAAAAAAAAAAAAAAACTCGTAGAAAGCATGACAAAATAATGTTCTGTTTGCTCTGGCACTATTCCAAGAGCTAATTCCAGCTTCAGCAGAGGTTGTGGTGTCCCCAGAGCCCTGTTAGTGTGATAGAGAGCAAAGATTAAGTTGGCTCCTACCTTTCTTAGCATTGATCTATCAGAAGCATAACTATACCCATTGGCCCTTTCTTCTCTAGATCGTCAGTGGCATAATCCATCATACCCAGAGTACCAAACTGCTGAAAAGACTGTTTCTGTTTTCCTATGCAGCTGCTGTGCACGACACAGGTAAGTCTTTTCTGAGCTATCATTGTAGAATAGTCAGAGGCGTTTCTGTTTGGTTTTGGTTTTGTCTCTTCCTATAGTCCAAGCTGACCTCAAACTCAGGAACTTCTGTTTTGGTCTCCTCTGAGTGCTGGAATTCCTGGCAAGTACCCCGACTCTCACAAGGTTCCTTTACTCTCACCTGTGACAGGAAGGGAAACCCCGTCATTGTTAGTTTGTATCATCATGACCAAATATTTGTCAGGAAAGAGGAGAAAGATTATTTTGGCTCACCGTTTGAGAGGGTTCACTCCATGGTATCTTGGCCTGTGTACTTATGGAAGGGAGGTTGTTCACATCAAGGTGAAGGACACGGAATAGAAAAAGAAGGGAACAGAAAGCAGACGTAGCCTTCAAAGACCTATTCTCTTCAGATATTTCTGTGACTTGTTTTCTCCAGGAATGCCCAATCTCCCAAAGCGTCTGCATCCTTCCTGTCTTAGTTAGGGTGATTATTGCTGTGATGAAACACCATGGCCAAAAGCAGGCTGGGAGGAAAGGGGTTTTTTGGCTTACTCTTGCACATTGTAGTCCACCATTGAAGGAAGGCAGGACAGGGACTCAAACAGGGAGGCAGGAGCTGATGGAGAGCCCATGGAGGGTGCTGCTTACTAGCTTGATTCCCCTGGCTTGCTCAGCCTGCTTTCTTATAACCCAGGCCCTCCAGGCCAGCGATGACACCACCCACAAGGGCTGGACCCTCCCCCATCAATCACTGATGAAGAAAAAGCCTTATGGAGCCTAGGTTTATAGAGGCATTTTCTCAGTTGTGGTTCCCTCCTTTCTGATGACTCTAGGTTTTGTCAAACTGACATAAAACTATCTAGCACACTCCCCAGATGACAGCATATATAGGGGTTCAAGCATCCAATGCATGCTTCGTTTAGAGGTTTCTTTTTTTTTTTCCTGTGATCTTTGCTTTTTACCTTTTAGGTCTGTTTACTTTCATGTCACACTGAATTGTTCTGTGGTTACTTCTTATGAGAAGTGAAATGAGGGGCTAGAGGGGTGACTCGGCTGAAGTGCTCACTGTGCAGGTACAAAGACTTGTGTGAACCTGTGGCATCCATGTCAAAGACAGGTGCAGTGGTGCATTGCCAACTGCGGCACCAGGGGCAGAAAAAGGTACATTGTGGGAGCTTCCTAGCCAGCCAGTCTTGCTCAGAGCAAGGTCTAGATTTAATAAGGGACCCTGTCTCAAAGATGAGTTTCAGAGCAGTAGAGGAAGACACTTCATGTCAACATCTGGCATCCACATGTGCATGCATAGGTCAGTACACAGATGAATTTTAATTTTTCTGAATTAAAAAATGGTAAAATCAATATTACACTGGAAATTCAAAACCAATCACAAAAAAACAAAATTGAGCTGGAGATGGCTCAGCAGATAGGAGGACTGGCTGCTCTTGCAGAGGTCCTGAGTTCAATCTCCAGCACCCACATGGTGCTCACAGCCACCGCTAATGGGGTCTGATCCTCTCTTCTGATGTGTCGTCAACAGTGTACTCATGCATTTAAAAAATTTGAGACAATTTAAAAGAACCCTATTTGTCTCTGAGTTCTTTTTTCTTTAGTTTATATACTCAAGAAATACACTTGAGTTTATTTAAGATTCTAGAGGAAGTGGGTGCTTAATGCTCCTGGCTCCCATGTCAGAAACGTCTGGTTGGCTTGTTTAAGAGCACATACATTGGACTGCACTGACCACTGATTTAGTAAACATCTATTGAGTGCTTGCTGTGGGCCTGGTCCCGTGGAGGGTAGGAGTGAGCAGGGCTGAGTCTCTGCACTCAAGGATGTAAAGACAAGAGGACGTACAAAGACTGATGTGTTATGCCAGGCAAGTCCCCCTTCCTTGGCAGAGGCAGTCATTCGAGGGAGAGAGCCATGCCCCAGCTAGGACCGAGCCTGCTAAGAGCATGCTTTAGGGTTGGAGATATGCATATATTTCTGAGAGAATGTCACACTGTAGGATTTATGGATGATTTAGATGAAAGAATAAAGATTATGGTGTCGTTCCTCAAGCACTGTCCACATTTTGTCTCCCTCCGCCCCCCTTTTTGAGACAGGGTGTCCAGTTTTAGGTGGCCCGCAACTGAGCCAAGCAGGCTGGGCTAGGTGACTGCAAGTCTGCCTTCCAGCCTTCCTGGTACTAGGATTACAAGTGCATTCCATGCTGCCATCATACCTGGCCTGTTCTGTTGTTTTGGTTTTTTGAGACAGGGTTTCTTTGTGTAAACCTGGCTGACCTGGAACTCAATTTGCAGACCAGGCTGGCCTTGAATTCATGTAGATCCACATGCCTCTGCCTCCTGAGTGTTGAAACTACAGGTGAGGCCCAGCCCAGCCATATATCCATACACACACACACACACACACACACACTCTCTCTCTCTCTCATGCTGTGGGGCTCATACTCAGGTCTTTCTTGCTTGTAAGGAAGGTACTTTACTGATTGTATTGATCCCAGCATTTGTTTTTTATTTTCCTCTGCATCCTTCAATTACCCACTGGTCACTCAAGACTGTATGATTCAGTCTCTAAGTATTTGTAGTTAGATTCTGTTGCTATTGATTTCTAGTTTAATTCACTATGATCTATGAGGTACAAGAAACAATTTTAATTGTTTTATATTTGCTAAGACTTGCTTTGCAGCATAGAGTGTATACGATCTATTTGAGAGGAAGCTCCATGGGCTACTGAGAAGAATAAGGTGTATTCTGTTTTTATTAGGTAGAATATTCTGTAGATATATGTTAGATCCATTTGGTCTATGGTATAGTTTAACTCTGGAGTTTCCTCATTCTGTTTTAGATTGTGACTGATCCATAGATGAGATGGAGTTATTGAAGTAACCTCATTTTATCAGAACCTATCAGACCTTTATGTTCCCTTAGTGATTGCTTTATGAAGTTGGGAACCCTTGCATTTGGCACATGGATGTTTATTATTTTTTATGTCTTCTTGATGAGTTGTTCCCTTGATTATTATATAGTGGTCTTCCTTCTATGTTCTTAGTTTGATTTCAAGTATACTTCAGATAACAGAATAGTTACCCTGCTTGTGTGGACTTCCATTTGTTGATAGATTGACTTCCACCCACTAATTTTCAGTCAGTGCCAGTGCATTGTTTCCTGGAGATGGTAGGTGATTGAATCTGTTATTTTTCATTATTTTAAATTATGTGTATGTGCTTCTTTGTTGGTGTTGCCTGAGGAGGCCAGGGGTGTCTGGGCTCTGGAGCTGGAGTTACAGGTGATAGTGAGTCATCCAGCAAAGGAACCAAATGTGAGTCCTTTGGAAGAGCAATACTTGATTTTATTTTATTTTATTTTATTTTTTTTAAAGATTTATTTATTTATTATATATGTGTAGCTGTCTTCAGACACCAGAAGAGGGCATCAGATCTCATTACAGATGGTTGTGAGCCACCATGTGGTCGCTGGGATTTGAACTCAGGACCTCTGGAAGTGCAGTCAGTGCTCTTAACCACTGAGCCATCTCTCCAGCCCCGCAATACTTGATTTTAATTGCAAAGCCATTAAAGCCTTCAGTCTCTAGAGCTGGTATTTAAATATATTCAGCCTGTCTGCACCATTTATTTATTTATTTATTTATTTATTTATTTATTTATGAGTTGAAAGAGAGTTTTCTTGGTTGTTTTTCTGGCTAGGGTGAGTCACTGCTGGTAGCATTAAGACTCTGCTGGTTTAGTGTGTTGGATGTGATGGGCTCCTCCCTAGCTCTCTTTTGTTCATGGATTGCTGTCAGGAAATTTATTCTTTTGTGTACTATTATGATTTTGACTTTATGCTGGCTGTGGTCATAAATTGCCTTAGTTTGTTTTTGTCTTGAAACGTCCATAATTCTCTGTCAATTCTAGAAGCTGTTTCTAAATAGCTTTGCTGTTTGTAGCAATTCAGGTTAGTAATTAATTACTTTCAGGACTTGAAGTATATTGTCTCATGCTTTCCTGCCTTTTAGGGTTGCTGATGTAATTTGATTACTGGCTTTTATAGGTGAATTGGCCTTTTCCTCTCAGATCTTTTAATGTTTTTATTGTGTGTCTGTCTGTCTGCATAACTTTTTGAGATATGGTCTCATTGGAGCCCGGCCTTTAACTAATTGTGTATCACAAGGCAGGTAGCCTCAGGCTAGTGAGTGGGCCTGTTTTAACCTCTCAAAAGTTGTAATTATAGGTATGAGCCATTATACTTAGCTGCTTTGCTGTTGTTGTTGGTTATTGTTGTGTGGATTTTGTATGGGTATGTTGTATTCATACTCATGTAGGTGTGTGTACATGCATGTTCAGGCCAGAGGTTGACCCTGGGTGTGTTTCACAGTCCTCTCCACTTTATTTTTTTGAGACAGGGTCTTTCACTGAGCCAGCTGGCCAGTGAGCTTCAGGGATCCACTTGTGTCTGCTCACCTTCTTTTTCCTTAGTGCTGGAGTTTAGCCTTGTGCTGCTGTGCCTAGCTTTGCTTGTTTGTTTGTTTTTGTTTCTGAGACATGCCCGCAATGTAGTCCTGCTGTCCTCATGCTTTCTGTGGAGACAGGCTGGCCTCCAATTCACAGAGATCTTCCTGCCTCTATTTGGGTTTAAGGTGGGTTCATTACACCCAGTACAGCTTTTAAGTAGGTGCTAGGGATCCGAGCTCACGACCTTATTCTTGTATAACAGGCACTTTACCCGTTGAGCCGTCTCCCTAGCTTCTGCTTTGCATTTCTGACATCTTGATTATATACTGTAGAGAAGCCCTTCCTTAGTGATGTCTGTTTAGGGTTCTAAATGCCTTGTATGTTTGTGTTTTCTTACTTTAAAATCAGCAGTGTTAATGCCTCTTGTGAAGATTATTAAGCATTAAATTCATGGCATATAAGATGAAATCATTAAATAAGAGCTAATTGAGAATAAAAGTGCTTGTTATCTGGGCATGGTGGCACACACCTGTACCCAGTACTTGGAAGCAAAGGCAGGTGGATCTCTGTGAGTTTAATGCCAGCCTGATTTAGGTACTAGATTGCTGGCCAGCCAGGGCTACATGCAGAGACTAATGTTTCAAAGAAGAAAACTTACCAATCACTCATAGTGGGCCATGTGTGAGGATTACAGCTCACATTATATTACTAAGCCAAATAGGAAATTTGTCCCTGAAGTTCATCTTTGTTACAGACAGACCTTTACATTGTAGCTACAATGTTGTCACAGTATGGGAGTATAGCTTGGCTTTTTTGTTGATTACTACTGTAGCTGGTCTTTGCTACTTTGTGGCTTCTTCTTGTTCCCATCCTTATTCCCTACCTTCCCATTTCACCCTTATCACTAAATAGGAGAGAAAGGATGGGGGAGGGGGGAATTACCCTGAATCTGATTTCTTTCCTTTTGTTTCTTCTTTGAGCATGAATACTAACAAACTGTAACTAACCCCTCTGAATGACCAACAACTGCCAGCTCCGCCTCTCAGGGACCCTGGCTTTTATACACCCTCTGAAACGTTTCCAGAATTCCAAACATCACACAACCACAGAAACGTTTTCCAGCTGGCAAAGCCACGCCTCTGCTAGAGCTCAAGGCAAATCATAGTCATTTGCTGTGAACAGGCTGAAGCAGCGGCACATCCCCATACAAAAACACATCCTTACACTATTTCTGTGGTTTTTTTTTAAAGAAACCAAAATTCCAAAATTGTCACTGCATATCACAGTTTATATAAACAATCTATCAGGCTCATACTTGAAAAATAATCATCTCTAGTTTTAGAAATTCTGCCTTTTTATTCTGATGCTGGCCCAGGCGCTAAGTATACAACTTTGGTGGTGTTGACTAAGTATACATAATCATCTTTCAGATTCATATTGAAAAAACAATACTTCAGTTTTATGAATTCTACTTCTTCCATAGATTCTAATATAAAAAAAATTTTTTTTAAAGACGAGGTCTCACTGTGTAACCCTGGCTGGCCTGGAACTTACTATGTAAAACGAGCTGGCCTCAAACTCAGAGATGCGTCCTATCATGTCTGTGTCCTTGAGTGCTGACATTAAAGGTGTGTACCACTCACTGATCCCGATGGATTCGGTCTGGTCTAGGCCAGGACAGTTTCTGAGCTTGCTCACACATGGTCAGTGCTGGATTCTTACCATTCTGACTGTGGCCCTCTCCTGACCCTCTGGAGTTTGTCTTTTGGGTTTTGTCTGGTTTTGTAGCAGATACTCAGAATATATAGAACCTTTATTCTAGTTCCATCCTTCTCTGACCTTCCTTCTCACCTCTATTGGAGGTCAGGGTAATAAAGGTTATTAGTTTTTGAGTATGGGTTTTGTTAATGTGGGTGCTTTATAGTTCAGATCCTTCTGTCTCTACCTCCTCAGTGCTGAGAAAATACAAGCTCCTGCTTGGACCAAACTTACGCTTTCTTGCTTGAAAGACAAGCACATGACCAACTGAGCTTTTTTTTCTCCACCTAGTATTTTTAGGGTAGACAGAAGATACAGTATCTGTTTGTCTATGGTGTTATTTTGAGGCAGGGTTCTAATATTCAGCTCAGGCTGCCCTCAAACTTAAGATTCTACTTTAGCCTTCTAAATGTTGACATATAGTTGTGGGTACTGCTTTTGTCTTATATAATGTCTTTTTAGCTTTATTTGTTTTTATTTGTTTATTTATTTTGTTTTTTTTTTATGTAATTGTTTGCTTAAATAAATACATGCACCACATGTTGTGGCCAGAAGAGGACATTGGATCCCCTGAGACTAGAGTTATAGACAGTTAGGAGCTGCCATGTGGGTGCTAGAAATTGTACCCAGGTAGTCTGGAGGAATAGCCAGTGCTCTTAACCACTGAACTATCTTTCTATCCCACTTATACAATATTCTTAATATGCCTGTGTTTTGACTGTGACGTAAGGTCATGTGAGGAATTTTCTTCTTGTGATATCACATTGGCAGTTAAGTTTCAGATTTTCTTTCATATTTTTAGGTTAGGAATATTCAACGTATGTAAACATTGATTATTGTCATTGTTCTAGCTACTTCTACTGTAATTTTGTTGTATTTAACAGAAGCAGCTGTTTTAGCAAGCACTTGCCTTTTATCCAGGAAGTTGGGTTTTTCGATGTGCATGACACTTGGAGCCATCAGGAAGGCACAGCTCTTTCTGCTGAGCTCTGGGCAGTACTTGTGGACATTTTGTTCTAACAGTGCTGATTTAGTAGCCAAAGTTCCTGTCACCATGATGCAGGCCTTGGCTGTTGGCCACTGTCTTCACTGTGACTCTGATCTATTTATGGCCTGCAGTAAGCAAGTGCCATCCTGACAGGTCTCTTGTAGGGAGTACATCCCAAACTGAAGGAGGATTGACGTTCCAGAGTCTGACATGCTGTTCTCATCAGTGCGCCGTGTTAGACACATGTGGCAGGGCTAAGAATACTTCATTCCTTAGCCTTTGTGCCAAGCCCATCTTTCAATGTTTCACAGGGTTTGTGTTTTATATAAATTATTTCATGGGCAGATGACTGAGAATGGAGCGAGAAATTACTTTTGCAAGGAATGGAGCAAGAATAGCCTCGTAGGGCTGGAGGGATGGTTAGCAGTTAATAGTGCTTGCTGCTTTTCCCGAGGACCTAAGCTCAGTTCCCAGCACCCATATTGGTGGCTCACAACTGCCTGTAACTCCAGCTCCAGGGGAATCCAGCACCATAATCCTGGATCCCATAGGTTCCCACATACTCTTGGCATACAGAAACAGATGCACACATATACACATAAAATATACACATAAAAAATTAAGAACAAAACAGCCCCTTTCTTAGATATATAGAGACAGCATGGACTAGTTTTTTGGCTCAGTAGGTAAAATTGATCACCTTCAGACCTCTTAATCCAAGTTTAATCCCAGCACCCACATGGTGGAGAACTGACTTCTGTCTAGTTGTGCTCTGATCAGCAAATGTGTACTATGACAGGCATGCATTCTACCCCCCCCCCCAAATAGATAAATGTAATAAACGTTTGAATAAAGTTCCCATTGTAACTTTGGATGAGTGACAGAAAGCGGAACAGCTAAGCTGTGGATTTATTCTTCTTGGATTAATAGACTCAGTGTCATAAGTTGGGTTCGGAGCCCCAGCACCCACACGCATAGATGGCGGCGCCATGCAGAGACTTTACTGCCATGTTCATTTTGTTTTCTTAGCCGCCGACCCCAGGAACTGTACTGTAATGTTTGACACACCGAAGGACTGGTGTTGGGAGCTGGAGCGGACCAAGGGGAGTGTGAAGTACAAAACAGTGAGTGTGAATGAAGGCTACCGAGTCTGTGACAGGTAAGCTCTCCATGTTGACTCTCCCCATTAGTTGTGTGTATGTGTGTGGGGATGTGCATATGTGTCTGTGGCCAGGCACAGGGGTCCAGAAGAAGGCCTCAGATCATATATTAGGGTTCTCCTAAGAAACAGGTCTGAGAGGAAGGGGATTCGCGTGCATGTGTGCGAACACACACAGACACACAGAAATGATTTGTTAGGTTTTCTTTCAGTGTGTGGGCTGCTCAGTCTTCAAGGCTGGCTGTCTCAGCAGTCCCAGTCCAGCACTGAAGGACCGAGGGTTCTTGGAGAGCTGCTGACCTTGTGTTGAAATCTTGAAGAAGTTGGTTCTGGTGGCAGAGGAATACCACAGCAACAGATAGGTGATCTTGTCAGCAAAAGTGAGGACAGGAAGGCAAAAACAGCAGTTTTCTTCTTCCTTGTCCTGTGTCCAGGCCGCTGCCAGAAGATGCCACCCACAGTTAGCGTGCTGCCTCCTGCAGGTGTGATCCTGTGAGAGCAGTCCTCACAGGAGTGCCCAGAGTTTGTGCTGTAGTTCATTTCAGATACAGTCAAGTCGGCAGCCACGATGAGTCATCCCAGATCCATGGCTGGACAGAGGCCTCTGGGAGTGGCCTGGGGAGTGGGTGCCATGAATTGAACTCTGGTCCTTAGGAAGAATAGCACACACAACTGGGCCTAGTGGTGCATTCTTTTAATCCCAGCACTTGGGAGTAGAGACAGGTGGGTCTCTGAGTTTGAGCTGAGAGTGGTCTACATAGCAAGTTTCATGACGGCCAGGAGTAAATGCCCTTTGGTCAGAGCTGAGAGAAGGGGAAGCAGGGAAGCCTGGTAGGCAGTAACAGCCAGGGCAAGGCTGTGTGCCCTTCATCCAGGGGCCGACGGGTTAGGAGTAGTGGGTGAGGAGAAGGGATGGTCAGATGCTTCTGGAGAATGTACTCTTTGTGATTCTCAGAACAATGAGGAGAAGGTTGAGCAGGCAGGGAGTGATCTGGCCTACATTTTTAAAGGATGACTCTGCTGATCTGTTTTTAGAAACTTGAATCTTATCATTTGGGAACATAGCTTCCTTGCACTGTGCTGACAGCTTCATAAAATACTGGAGCTTTATAGCACTTTTTATATTTGAGTGTCTCGGGTTTCTTTAGCATAACAGTTTTGATTTCAACCAAACTGAAACATGAACAGGATGACCCCTCCCCGAGTTGGTCTGGGTTAGAAGGAGAAACTGTAGCATTGTCAGAGCTGGCTGTTTCGGTGCCATAGGGCTATTGCTTCTCTTTGTAATTCACTCCTAAATCTTTACTTCATTGTACTCTGTGGAGATACAAGAAGGTGTGTAGCCCTGTGGGTGTGTGCTTTACAGAGGGACCCATGAGCTAATGCTGCCACAGCATGACAAAGCTCTGCCCTGGGCTGCCCTTCCTAGACTACAGCTGTGCCTGAGTGGGTTGCCGGGCTTCCATAATGAAGCTACCCTGAGACAGGCTCTTCACTCAGAACTCATCCTGCTGCCTGAAGGGACTGTTTTGAAGAGGGAGAACTAATTCTCAGTCTCTGAAGACTGCCTGGGATCTACCAGAGCCAAGTGGGACAGGTGAGCACACCCTCCACCCTGTGCCTGGTGTGGTGCGCAGTGCTCGTGGGCAGAGGCTAAAATCTGCTTAACATTCACTTTGACCTTTTAAATGTTTTTGTGTGAACAGCTTTGTATAGGATGAAATTACCTAGAGAGCTGGCATGGTAGGCTATTCAGTCTTACTAGATGGGCCAGGCATGCGAACTTTTTAGGACCAGGGCCCACTGCAGCTTGATGGCATGTATGTTAAGGAAGGCGCTGCGCGCCCCTCAGGTGACATTAGAACCGTGGCCTGTGTGGACGTCACTGTCCAGTCAGTGATTCCACGGTCAGCTTATCTCGGTCCCCGCAGAGCTTGTCGGAATGAAGCCTGCTCTACCCTCATAGCATGGTGTGCCAGAGCAGCAGCACCTTAATCCCTTGGCTTTCCTGGAGAGCTTTGAGCTTCTGATTTGTAATCATGGGGCCCAGGCTGGAGTTTGGTAATTTTCTAATCCTTCCCTGTGCTTTTAATGGGCATCTTGAGTTTAAAAGCCTTTGACCTATTGAAATGTTCGTACTTTAGTGACTCCCTAAAGAAAGCTTACTTGCCCACATACAAGTATGTAAGAAAATATAAGTAGCTCAGAATTTCAGAAGTCAAGATAATAACGCTGTTAGTGACCTAAGGGCCTTAGCCATGACCAGTGTTTCACAGACCTGGGTATATATCACAGATTCATATGACCTTTGTCTTTTTAAAATTGTCTGTAAGAGGGCTGGAAAGATGACTTGGGACCTACAAGCAATTTCTGCTCTTCTAGAAGACCCCAATTTAGTGGCCTATGCCTGTGTCTGGTTGCTCTAATAACTGCCTATTACTCCAGCCCCAGGGAATCGGACCGCCTTCTTTTCTGGCCACCAGCACCCAAACACACATGGCATAAAATCACACAGACCCACACATATACATAGAAAAAGAAATCGTTAAAATTATCTTCAAAGTTTCTTTAATACAAATTTTGAAGCATTATAGAAAAAGAATGTCAAACTTCCTTTGTCCATTTACTCAGGTATAACAATGATTAATTCATAGCTAACCCTGTCTTCTCTATATATCTATCCACCTACTTGTTTCCCCTTTGCATTCTTTGGAAATGAGTTTCAAAGCTCATTTCATTTATATTCAGTGTATATTACAAAGAACAAAGGACTGGGGTTGTTTTTAATAAACACAGCATGAAAACATTATCATACTTTTCAAATTCACACTACTTCTTATTGTTTGTTGAGACAGAGTCTTCCTTTATAGCATGTGCCCTGGAATTTTTTATGGGGACCAGGCTGATCTCATAGAGATCTGTCTACCTACCTTTACCTCCCAAGTCCTGGGATTACAGGCCTGTGTTATGCCCTTTCACACTGTTTCTTTGATATCTAATTAGTATTTCAAATTTCCCCAGGATTTGGTTTGGCTTGGGGGGTGGAGGGAAGTTTTGTTTGGTTTTGTTTTGTATATGTGTGTTATCTGTTTTGAGACAGGGTTTCACCCTGTATCAAGATTGGCCACTCAACTGCTAGCATAATAGGAGTGCACCACCACTTCTTGACTTGCTTTTATAAGATTTCTTTTTTTTTTAATTTATTGTTAATAAAGATTGAGTAGCATTTTTGTCATTTCTTGTTGAGTTTCTTAAGTGTAGACTCTCTCACCATCATCTTTTTCTTGAAGAAATCAAGCTCTTTGCTAATTGTTTCCCACAGTGGTGTTTGGCCACACCCCCTAGTGGTACTTCACGTGTGGGTCCACCTTCTGTGAATTGATGAATGGTTCAGTCATTGTGTTCTGATCTCTGACTTTAAAAATCCATCTTTCCATGGGGCTGGGAGACGGGTCAGTGGATAAGTCTACCTTCTGCTCTTGCAGAGGACTGGGGTCTGGTTGCCAGCACCCATATGTTTGGCTCACAATGCTAGAGTGTGTCTGTAACTCTACATCCAGGGAATCCAACACACTCTTCTGGTTTTTGAGGTGACTTGCACAGACATGGTACACAGACATACTCTGCAGTATACACTCATACACATAAACAATTCTTTTTTGAAGTTTATCTTATCTACGACTCTGTCTGACAGACTGGAGTCAAGCATGCAGTGTATATGCAAACACCGTCTGATTACTTTCCATCACAACAAAGACACACAGGTGCCTTCGGTCCCAGGAGGCTTTGTCTATGACTAGGAGCCAGTGTGCCCGGCAGCTTTGAAAAGTCAAGCTTTCTCACGTTCTTCTGTTCAGCAGGCTTATTCTTGTAAAGATGTTGTTTCTCCTGAAGATAACAAAATCATGGGGTGTAACTTTAATTTGTCAAACCTTATTTTTAATGATGGTTCTTAAACACTCCCACCAGAGGTAGTGGAAAAGAAAGGATGCAGGTCGGGGATGCAGACTGGAACTGTTTAGAAAGGTCTTTGGAGCAACTCCCACCTGTGTTGTCTAGAAACCGGCAGTTCACAGGTCAGCAGGCAGTGGCAGCTCCATCCACTCGAAAACACTTCATGGATACACCTGTGGTCCAGCGGTAGAGTCGAGTTTTAGCAACAGTGGTGACACGACCTAGCAGAGACAGCTAGGCCTCAGCCAATCAGCTGGAGGGACCTAGAGGGATGCCAGGAGTTCTCTGCTGTGCTTCTCTCAGGGAAGTGAATATTAGTGACAATATGAGACCCACAAGTGTTGGACAGCTAGCTGTTCCAGTGCAAGCCAAACTCTGTCTCTGTCACTCTGTTGTATCCTACTTACACCCTCCCAACACTGTGTGTTCTCTATGTGTCTTGCCTCAGCATATGCATCCAATCTGCCTGAGTCCTCAGAGTCCCCACAAATTGAGCTCAACTAAGCAGTGTAAGGCGGACCAATGCATGCATATTGTTAGCAAAGAATTCTTCACGTGTCCTTTCACGTGTTTGCTTTAGCAGAACATCCTCTCTTCTGTGTCGGCTTCAGCAAAACATTCCTTCATGTGTTTGCCCCAGCAAAATGCCATACAAATGACTTTCCAAAGAACCTGTAAGTTTTCACTTCAGCAGTGTAACCCAGGAAGAGCCTCAGTCAGTGTGGTATCGTAGTTTTCCTTTATTCTGTATCTGTAACATGGAAATAATCCTACTACATACCTGACAATGATGTTGGATTAAATGTTCACGTGATGGACTGGGGCAGTGTCTGCCGCAGGGGAGCGCTCACAAAAGTCAGTCATTGGCAGACCTTTTTGAGACTGGGCTTTTTCTCCTTGTGTAGTAGTTGTTTGTTTGTTTGTTTGTTTGTTTGTTTTGAGACAAGGTTTCTCTGTGCAGCCCTGGCTGTCCTGGGACTCACTCTGTAGACCAGGGTGGCCTCGAACTCAGAAATCCACCTGCCTCTGCCTCCTAAGTGTGGGATTACAGGTGTGCGCCACCACCGCCCAGCAGTTGTTTTGTTTTTGTGGTGGTGTTTTGAGACAGGACTTTTCTGTGTCGCCCTGTCTGTCTTGGAAACTTTGTAGACCTGGTTGGCCTTGAACTCACAGAGGTCTTGCCTCCTAAGAGCTGGGATTAAAGTCATGCCGCCATGCCTGTTTCAGAGTATGTGATAAAATAGATAGCAGCCATGGTTACCAGTTTTCATATTCATTTAGTGTAATTCTAAGCAGCACGGGTGTTTGTGTTGTTACTCTTTGATGAAATTTTGGAATTCCTATTTTTTTAGATATCACATTTCCCAGTCTCCTCCCTTTTCAGTGCTAAAAACCTAGGGCCTTGTACATGCTAGGCGGGGCTCTGTTGCAGAGCTGTACCCACACCCCCATCTTCCTCATTTTATAGAAGAGTACACTCACCCAGAAGGGCAGAACAACTTACCTCCCTTGCCTGCAGAGACAGAGCTGTGCCGATCACAGGCAGAACTAGGGCCAGAATCCAGATTCCTAACCTATCTGATCACAGTGCTTGTCAGTAGCCCAGGGATAGCTGTTCACCTGAGCTGTGTCTCAAGGTAGTGCGGTCCTTTGTGTGACACATTGTTTCTTCCTTTGTGAGTGTTTACATGTTTTCTGTCTGTCTGAAAGCTGATGCTATCTATCTCTTGCTTCTAGGTTGCCAGCATACTTTGTTGTCCCCACTCCCCTTCCTGAAGACGATGTGAAGCGTTTTCAGGGCCATGGCATACCAGTAAGTACATCTGGAAACCCTGGCAGGAGACGTCAGCGGCTCTCAGCCCATCCTAGCAGTGATCCTACTTAGAGCCTTTGGTTTAGTGCTCCAAGTTTGTCTGCAGTGTAAGAGTAATCCAAAAATACCACAGGGACTCCCTAAGCAGCCTTCTAAACCTGAGGCTCCCTGGAGCAAGTCTGAAGCCATCACAAATGCTCTTGAAATTTTCACAGAGACACTGAAACACTTTAGGAGGATAATAGGTCTACCTGCTTTAACACTTAAGTCATTTTACATGTGAGCTGACACTGCTCATAGTGGAATTTAAGATTCTTTTTGGCGAGCTCTGTTAATCTTGGTCTGGGCATAGCTGAGGCTTCTCCTAGAAGACAGCATGAAGCACAGAATAGGAGAGGATGGGAGCCATCTTTAATGTTACTGACCTAATAAAGCACAACCAGATAGCACCCAGCTTCCAAATTGTTGACAGAGTTCTCAAGCCTGTGGGAATTTAGTAAGGAATCAGAATCCTAAGCACATGCTGTGTAGTACACAAGGCTGCTTTGCCAGGAAGAATCTTAAATGTGAGCCGAGATGGTGAAACTCCATCACATTCCCAGAGCCCATGGAGGGGAGGCTGGACAGGTAGTGAGTATGGTCCTTACAGACAGAGTCTCTCTGCCTGACCCAGAAGGGCAGCTCTTCAGTACCAGCCTGTAGCATTGACTGAATATTACCAGATAGCCAGAGATGCAGATTTCTATGTGAGTTTTCCTGATCTCCAACTAGACATGGTTAAATTGGAGACTTTAAAAAAGAAAAAAAAAATATTCTTTGGGCATAGCTGGGTCACATTCCACCAGTTTCCAGCCCATGATTGACAGCTGAAGTCTCCATCCTTACCTTTATCTTCCACTCTTGAAAATGACTGTGGCTGTGAAAGAGTTCTGTTTATGTGGGTTGTGTCATCTTAGAAATTCCAGTTAAAACTGGCAGTGGTGCCTGTAATCCCAGCACTGGCTGAGCCAGGAGGATTTCTGTAGTTCAAGGCCAGCATGCATTCCATAAGTTTTAGACCAGTGTAAGCTATAGAGTGAGACCCTGTTAATTTTTTTCTCCAAATTGAATTTTAATGAAAAAAAATGTAAGAAATGTGTTACCATAAGTAACATACTTTTATGGAAAATAACTATCCAAAATAGTCAAATGGAATAGCACTATTTTGGATTTTGCAAATAGAAGACAGCTGGAATGTTTTATTTGGTCTGTTGTGGTATGCAGAGGACTAGTTAAAGAACACAGAGAAGCCCCAGCTTAAGGCGTGAGCATTTGGGAAGGAAGGCACAGATAGGCTGGGCTGAGAACTTTGTTATTTGACAGTGTACCAGAACATGGTCCATAACAGTTCACAAAGGTGACCATAGGAAGGATTTAAAAACCCAAGCAACTGCTCCTTTTTTGTTTTTAAAATTTACCAGTCTGTCTCATACTTTGAATGGAATTTAAAGGTTTAAAGGATATGTTTTGTCCTGTTACACATTTGGAAATAGTGGTTCATGGGTTGTACATGTAGATACTGACGCTTCAGTAGTGTCCTCTTACCAGAAGAGGACATCCAGGAAGTATGTACAGGACTTCATGTCACGGTCTAGCTTTTCACATTTCTAAGTCTTTGCTTTAAAGATTAATTTTTCCTCCATTGGCAACATTTTATAAATTGTGTTCTGTGAAATGATTAACTCAGTTTATTCACTTTGTAAGTATTTTTAGAAATTTAATGTTTTTGAGACTTGATACATGAGCTCTGTGTTTACATCCGTTTACTCTTCCCTCTCTCTGTCCCTTCCTCCCTCTCTCTCCCTTAATTATTACATAGTGTAATAATTGTATGACACACAATGTGTATATGCGTGCATATGTATGTATACATACACACTTATACATACATATGTAGTATGCATGCACACACACGAACACACACTATCTCCTGAGCCCATTTAGTGTTGCTTATATGTACATGTATTGACGACTGACCCCTTAGAATTAGATAACTACCAGGAACCATCCTTGGAGAAGGTTGATTTTCCCTCTCAGCCTCCATTGATTGCACAGAAGTCTTCATCTGGGCGTGTGGCCTTGTGGAGTCTACCCCATCCACATTGGCATGTCAGCTGGCATTCTCACCATGCTGGTCACTTTTAGGCAATAAACCGTATAATTGAGGTTTCATGGGTGCAGCTTCCTAGTCGTGTCTTGAAGACACTATTTCCCAGCAGGTATCCTGACCTCCTAGTTCTTAAGTTTTTCTACTATTGTAAATGTGTCAGTTAGGGTTGGGCACCTCAGTCACTTGCCGTCTGCGTTTGTCCCACTGTGGATCTCTATAATCGTCACCATCTTCTGTACAAAGAGGCTTCTGTGATAACGGGTGAGGGCTACACCTATCCATGGGCACACACAGACAAACACTTAGAATATGAGTCCTATTAGCTAGCAGTTAGTTACCCCAAGGTAAAAGTGCCACAGTTGCTTCATTGGCACTGTCTTCTGGGCTGATTGTTGTTGTGGTCTATAGGCATCACAGCTAGAACTACTGGGTGCTTTTCTCCCATGGCAGGTTCTAATACCCTTTCCTGTTTCTTCCCTAGCTCCTTACAATATTAAAAGAGCTAGTCCTCCAAAATCTAAACATGCACAATTTTTGTCAAAGGCACTCCCAACTCAGTGGGCCAGACATTTTATAATAGTAATCAAGATTGTAAAATTGTTCATTTAAAAAGTTTTATTATTAGTGGGGATTGAGGACATCGATCCACAGCACACATGTGGAGGTCAGAGGAAAGCTTTGTGGAGCTGATTTTCTCCATCCACCTTTGATCAGGATCTGGGGATTGAACTCTGGTCATCAGGCTTTCAATAAGTACTTTATCCACTGAGTCAGCACTTGGGCCCCAGACTTGGTCATTTTTAACCTTCTGTTCAAGGACATTCTCAAGTGACTCCAACTGTTTTCTTACCAGTGGTAACTTACTCATAAGCTGTGTAGTTGAGCAGCCATGCCTTGACTGGTGCTGAGCCACCAGTAGGTTCCCCACGCACCTCACTGTGCCTCCAGTGTACATGTCACCACAGTGGTGGAAAAGACCGTGTTGTCGTGGCCACCCACAAGGGCCTTGGGCCTCAGAACAGTTCGTAGTACACTTGGAAAAGTATACTTGCTTGAGAGGAATGAAAATGAGCATCTCTACCTTCATGGGGAAATATAGAAAACAGTGTGTGTGTGTGTGTGTGTGTGTGTGTGTGTGTGTGTGTGTTCTGTGGGAAGAAACAGAAAAGGAGAACTATCCACACAAGTGGGAATAGGGCTCCTCCTTCATCCCTACACATGGGAAATCTAGATACTGCTTGTTCTCTCCAGGCCTTGAGGCTGAGACATAGAAAACTTTCTCCTAAGAAGTGGGGGAAGACCCAGCCACGCTTGTTAGGAGCTTTAGGAAGGTGGTGTTCGCTGTTCTAACATCGGGTTGCGCGTGGACAGCAGTAAGATACTACACAGGACAGAACTGACAGAGCAGTCAGACTCCTCCCCTCCTCTTTCTGCCTAGCTCTCTTTCCTTTATTTGGTGCTGGCCTCCCATCCAGGGCCTTGCTATGTGCGTCAGGTTGCAGCTATGGCTATTAACCCTCTTCTGACTTGTGCATTGATCACCTGTATGGTTGTCAGGTCATTCTCATCCTTGCTGGTTTTGCTAGATTGCATGTAGATTTACTCTTTGAAATAGCAATTAGTTGTCCTTTTGTACCTCAGACGAGATGAGACAATTCTGATTATAAAGGATATTATTACATACGTCCCAAATGAAAAATAAGAAAGGTCTGCCTTTTCTTTTTTTTTTCTTTTTTTGCCCCAAATAAGAAGTATAAACGATTAGAGACGTTTCTTTTTTTTTTTTGGATACTATCATCCAGTCCTGACTAAGAGTGTCCTCCACATGCATTCAAGTAAGCTGTACCAGCTAGTAGGCATGGCTACTTAAGCATTGAAGCTATTACTCCATCCTTTTGGCAGCAGTCATAGAAGCCTGCGGTAATTTCTGCATGTTGCTTGCTGACAACAGTGGAGAAGTAAGAAGCAAAGGGCCCCTCAGTTTTTCCAGTGTCTGAACACTGCTGTCTCGTATGACTTACAAGTTCAGGTTGGCCTTAGAAGGGGAGTTGCTCTATGGGGGGCAGATGCCAAAGCACTCCTCAGCCTTCACTCTAGCTGACATCACTTCCCATGCCAATAGCAGCAGACCACTCTCCTGAACACATAGTCCCTCATTCAGAGGCCTCTGTGAATTTCAGATTCGCTGTCAAATAGCTCACCTTCTTTCCCGAAGCGCACTCTGCTGGGAACCAAGCTGCCCTTTTGCCATGAGGTAGAACACAGACCGCACGGTCAGATGGCAGCTACCCTACTGTTGTACATGTGAAGGCAGTCCCTTGGTCTCTCTGAACTTCAGTTAGCCCCTCGCTCTGAGTGGGGCTAATCATCATACTTAGCACATGATATGACCGTGAGAACTTAGGGAGTTCATTCACACAAAATGCCTGGTGTATAAGCTGCACTGACCTAGTAGTAGCAACGGTAAGGGTGCTACAGACTCCACGTAAGTCACCAGCTCTAAAGCCACATGAGGGTGGATGCTAGACTGGGGACAAGCGAGTCTCACTGCCTAATCCCATTGTCTTTCATTTTTAAGAGTAAATCTTCATGGACTGTATCTAGCCAGTGTGTTTAGAGGTTATAAATGTCCCTGTTTGACCATAAATGCTAAACTCACCTGCCCCCTGTTGAGTTTTGAATATTCCATTTGGTAAACGGTTTTCCTTTCCTTTCTATAGATCTGGTGTTGGTCTTGTCACAATGGAAGTGCTCTTTTGAAAATGTCAGCACTGCCCAAAGAACAGGATGATGGTGCTTTGCAAATTCAGAAGAACTTCTTACATGGGTCAGTATTTATTGTACATTTCGTCTGGTTCCATTTAGCTCCTGTTCTGTAAGAAGCATGTGGTGTGGTTTTCACTGTGTGTCTGTTCTGCTTACCTGGTGTGCTTTGTGTTGGAGGCGTCAGGGTGTAACAGTCACTTTAATTCTCTTGCAGGAAATCAGTATGGAAGTGTTAGACAGTGGGTGGAGGAGTGGAATGGTGGTTGTAATGTTAACAGCCATCAACTCTAGGCCACGGGGCAGGCACACCATGGTACTGTTCTATTATGTAGAGTATAAGTTTCAAAATAATCTTCGAAGTTTTATTCATTCGTTTTTATGCGTATGGTGTTTTGCCTGTGTGCCTATTCCCTGGGACTGGACTTACAGGTGATTGTGAACTGCTGAGGGCCAGACCCAGGTGCTCCAAAAGAGCAGCACGTCCTCGTGCCCACTGAGCCGAGTGTCTCTCTAGCCCCTCCAAAGCAAATACGATGACATCCACAGAAGGAGTAGGTTATGTAATTAGCTTGCTTTGACCTAAACCTGACCCCTATTTCCTCATGTGCTGGCTCACCTGAGTGAGGATTCTGTGAGCAGGTGGCTGCAGGGTGCTTCACACAGACTGTGGCTCGGGATAAACGACTCTCGAAATTCACGTTTGCACTTCTAACCTCATGTTCCTTTTTGACACCTAGAATTTACAAGACTATCCAAAGGCCACCCTACGAAATGGTTAAAACTGAAGACTTATCAAGCAACTTCCTGTCTCTGCAGGAGATCCAGAGTGCATACTGTAAATTTAAGCAGCTGTTTTTGATAGGTGAGAGAACATTGAGTGAAATCTCTCTGTCAAATGGATCTGGTGAAAGCAAATGGTGGTGTGCAGGGACTGTTGACCTCTAGGGTCACTGACAAGCAGTGACAGGCTGGAGGCGGAGGCCCAGGGTCCCAGCCGCCACTGTGGTGCTGCTTCTGTCCTGCTCCCCAGGGTTTCACCATGGCCGTCGTCCTCCCCCCCTTCCCTAGCATGTCATGGAGTGCCTGCAGCCACTGACCTTCCTCACTATTGATAATGTGAATGACTTGTTCCCCTGACCAACTTTCCCCCAAGTTGGGAATGCTTTCATTTTTTTTAACCTTCCTTTGGTATGTACAGCTTCTTAAACTGGAAAACAGTTTGGTTAATAAGAAATGTAAAAACCTTCGAACCACTCCAGTGCATTTGTCTTCCCTCCCAGCCTGTTAGTAACAACTGAAAACTTGCCTGACTTACACCTTGTGGCCTGTTCTCTGTGTAGCCCTGGCTATCCTAGAACTAGCTTTGGAGACCAGGCTAGCACTGAACTCAGAGATCTCCCTGCGTCTTGAGCGCGTGCACCACAGCTCAGCTCAGTTCTTCACGTTCTTAAACCAGTCTTTTCTCTGGGGTTTGTCATGCTTAGAGATACCTTTTCCTAACTGACTCCTTGGCACCGTCTTCACTGTTCTGTTTAGTTGATACTGAGGTTTGGTTGTGTAGACTAACTGTCGGGTCATGATAGAGATGACTGACACAGAAAGCCGTTTTTACTTAAGGGAAGCCTCATTTTAGACCTCTAACAAAAGCATGCGATACACATAGTAGCTGAATTAATTTTACTGTATGACCCAGGACTGGGAGTCTACAGTTGTGTTTTATTTCATTTACTTGGGACCCTGCAGGTGTGGCCGTGGGCAGTAACCTAAAGTCTCCTGGTTTTGTTTTGTTTGTTTTCCTTTTTCAGATAACAGTTCGGAATTCTGGGACACAGATATAAAATGGTTTTCTCTCTTAGAAAGCAGCAGCTGGCTTGATATAATCAGGTATGTCAACCCATTGCTTTGCACATGAGTTGTAGAGTTGTCTAATTCTGACTTGTAGAGGAATTGGTGGATCCCTGGTGTGTCACAGTTAGTTATTCTGAGCTCTAACACTATGACAGAAGACTCTTCTGCTCGCAGTAAGGGTGAGCATCCCCCACCAGGCAGACTGTCTTGGCAGGGCTGAGCGCTGTGCAAGAGTAGGAATGGGAACTCTCACGGCTGCAGGCCGAGGACTGACAGCACATGCTCAGGCAAGTCAGAGCTTTCCATGGGAGCCATGGTCGTCAAAGAGCAGCCTGCAGAGAGATGCAGAGAGAACTCTTCTTAGCCACACTGCTGCTCAGCTCACCCCCTTGTGCTGGTTTCTTCAGTTTCTGGTCTTGCTGTGGCTTACCAGCAAGCTTGGGTTTACATTTCTGCAAGACTTTGTATTTTAATAATCACCTAGGTCATATATCCACAGCTACACACCAGAGCTTTAGTTAGCTATAGAGAAGGGTGACACGATATGGTTTGCAGGAAAGTGGATAGAGCTGGAGATGGTGAGGGTGGAATAAGAAATTGAGGAAGGCAGATCTTCTATGCCTGGGTCTTATATGCAGGCTCTAAATCCATACGTGTATGTTAGACAGTAGAAGCTGGCACTTGAAAGTGAATTAGCTGGGAGATGGAGCACATGCCTTTAATCCCAGTGCTCAGGAGGCTCTGAATTTGAGGACAGCACAGTCTACAGGTAGAGTCCCGAGACAGCCTGAGCTACACAGCGAAACCTTGTCTCAAATAAACAAGAAGAAACCCAGCACTTTGAGGTGGTGGTGGGGTAGTCAGAAGATGGTTACCCTGTCACACACATTTTAAGAAAAGAAGAAGAAAAGGGTATAAGGGAGACCATGAAGGGAGGGGGTGATTCTGAAAAAAGAACAGACAAGACAATTGGGGGAACAAAGCAAGGTACATTTTCTCAAACTGAATCTAGATATCATTTTTCTTACACTCTCGCCAGCCCCTTCATGAGCATGGAAGAATGACTATTTTGGACATGAAGGAGACCAGGAAAGATGGGAGAGGGGAGGGGGAGGGTAGCATGGAGGATGACTGTGGCCAAGAAACAGTGGGTGTCTGCTAATCGTTCCTGTTATTTGGTATGCTAACTAAAAATTCCAGTACAAAAGAAAATGTAACTGGGAGCATCTTTACATTGATTTTATGACTCCATAATGAAATTGTCAGTTCTTGGTGGGTTTCATAAATATTTCATTGACGAAGAGTTCATACATTGAAGTTCCATGTTTGTTGGTGGTGCTAGAGATGGAACAGAGTTCTACATGTGAGCACTAGGCCGTGGAGCACACCCAGCAAGGAGCAGTGTGGTGATCTGTGACATGCGTAGCTCTGTGTGATGGTACCACGGCCTCAACTCGTGGCTCCCTTGTGTCTGTGCTGGACCCTGATTCCTCATTTCTGCCACTGCCTGTCTGTTGAGAACCACCATTCCACTCTGGGAGATCAGACTTGGACGTTTGTCGGTTCTCTGTGTGGAATTATGCAGCATTTATCTTTCTGCACCTGTCTTTCCTTCAAGTTCTTCCCATATTGCTGCAATGATAGAGTGTCCTTTTCTACTGCTGAATAATACTCTAACACACACACACACACACGCACGCACACACACGCAGAGTTGTTCTGTTGTCAATGAACTCTTAGATTACTTCTATGTTTTGACTAGTGTGAGTAATGTGGCAGTGCACGTAAGAGTGTGGATATCTATGCTTTTATCCCTTTGAATAAATTTATGTGAATGTATGTGTCTCTGTGTCTGTGTGTCTGTGTACTTATGTATATCTGTAATTGGTTTCTTAAAGGCAGATGAGTATCAGTGAATGGTTATTATTTCCTTTTCTAGATTTTTAGCATAAAGAAATAAAAATAAAAGAACAATTCAAGTCTCCTCTAAACATCTTGTTTATAGCACCAGGCTCGGTAACTAACGCTCCTGTTCACATCTCTTCCATGTTTAGACGCTGCCTGAAGAAAGCAATAGAGATTACAGAATGCCTGGAAGCGCAGAACATGAACGTCCTCCTCCTGGGTAATAAAGCATGAGGGGAGGTTTTCACCTTCACTCGCTGGGAGTCATCTTTCGTGTATATAATTTACAGAGTGGAATTGTTTCCTTCCCTCCCCCCTCCCTCCTCCCCCTCCCCCTTCCCCCTCCCCCCCTCCCTCAACCTGTAATCCTTTGCTCAGATTTCAGTGGTGCAGTTTACATACAGACGTGCTCACAGCCCAAGAAGGAATTGTTCAGTGTCTACCCAGTAGTCTTTGGGATACCCTTTTACCCAGGGGCCCTGCAGCTACTTAGAGTACTGTTCTTGTCTGTGTGCCGGCAGCTTTCTGTAGTTGCCATAGGAAGGGAAGTGATAGGCTGTGACTTTTCTGTCCTCAGTGTGGTATTTGCTCTGCTTCAGGATGGAACCACTCAGTGTATAAAAGTGGGATAAACCACCTGCAGCAGAGATTGCTGCTGTGGCCTTAGATGTGAACTGAAGCGTTACCTGCTTTTTAGATTTTATTTCAGTTGGTTTTCAGGAGATGGGATCCCGTGGTGTTCCCCATGCTGTCCTCAATTTCTGGGCTTACGTGATGCTCCTGCCTCAGCCTCCCAGTTAATCTGGAAGTACAGGCATGTTCTACCATCCTGGCTTGCTTTGTAGAGGGTCTTAAGTTTCTGACTCTACACTTCATGTGAAATAGTTGTCTCCTGTTTTTCTACCCCTGGTTTTTACCACTTCTGTGGTGCTTGTCTTACTGGAACACCCTAGAGCAAAATGGAAAGTATTCCTCTTCGTGGTTTCTGGACCACCTGGTGCTAGTGCCTTAGCCTTGAGTCCTCTTGTTAAGCCCCTTCCACGAGCAGCACTCTGTGCTTTTCCTTCTACACAATTGCAAACTAATGGCAGCATTGCCTGAAGTGCATTCTTATGAAGACACAAGGAGTGTAGTATTTGAATTGCAAATAGCTAATAAAGACAGATGAGATCTGAGAGACAGGAGAGCCCAGAACCAGATCCACCAATGACAGAGCTGTGCCGTGTGCAGTCTGGTTCTGATGGAAGTGAGATGTCCCCAGAGGTGTGCCATCCACAGAGGAAGAGCACGATTGTCTTCACGATGGAACTCTCAGAGACTGACAGCACTAGAGGACAGATACAAACATCTGTCTCTTAGGCAGAGACGATGACTCAGCCAGTAGCTTGGGAAGCACCAAGTTAGATCTCCAGAACCTTCATTAAACAAACAAAGAAGCCAGTATGGTAGCATGTGCTTGTAATCCCAGCACCAGGGAGGAGGGGACAGGATTCCTCATGCTCAATGGAAAACAAGGCTAGCCTAATCCTAAATTCCAGGCCAGTGAAAGGTCCTGTCTTGGAGGGTAGGAGGAAGGTGGATGGTACTCAAGAAACAACACACAGAATTGTCCTCTGGCCAGGCCTCCACATGTACCGCACGCATGCATGTTCACATGCACACATACTTAGATTTGTGAGTGTTTCTGTCAACCCTAGGTAGTTACTGCGTGGTTGTTAGGGATGACTGTAAGCCTTACCTTTAGTTCTTTGTAATTCTAGGACGCAGGAAGAAGGAGTGCTTACAGCATGACTGTATCTTTAGTTCTCTAACCTGAATGATACTGTCTTCCTTGAGGACATTTTTTAAAAGCAATATGAGTTGGGCCTTTTTGGAAAGAGGAATAAAGAGGAAGCCATGGGGAATGTGAGCCTGGCTTTAGTACCTTCAAACTCTAAGAAGAAAGCATGACTGCTCTAAGTCAGCAGTGTTAGTTAAGTCTGGGACTAGACTTTAGCCTTGTGGATTGTCTGAAGTGCATTCCAGGTGGGCACATGGAGGAACATCAGGAATTCCTTCTGTAGGCTTGGCAAGGAGAAGCAGGCGCCTCTGTGCTCCTCAGACAGAACAGGAGAGAGCCTTGTGACTGAAAGGTCGTTTAGTGCAAAGCAATCCAAGAAGGATGGGGAGTGGAAGACAAGGGTCTGCGTCTGGAGCAGTGAGTGGTGACTCTCCCCCGAAGGAAGGGCAGTAGACGCTATCTGCAGTTAGGCAGGCTATCCGTGCATACATGTTACTGTTCTCTTTTATGGCATCTGTGGGTGCTGTGTGCTAAAAGTTGATTTTTCAGGGCTTTCTTTGTTTAGTAAGCAAATATATGCTTAGCACCCCTATATGCCAGGACCTGTCCTGATAAACCACAAGCAGTCTGTCTCCCTAACTGGCCCTTGTCCTTAGGAAATAACAACAGACTGTGTTCTTGGAAACCCTGTTTTAGTTGTGTGGGGATGAGAGCACTGCCCCTTTAACACTCTGTTCTCCTCCTCCTTGCTGCTGCTGCTGGGCCTTCTAGAAGAGAACGCTTCTGACCTCTGCTGCCTCCTCTCCTCTCTGGTGCAAGTAATGATGGATGCCCACTGTCGAACCAGGACTGGGTTTCAGAGCCTCATCCAAAAGGAGTGGATCATGGGTGGCCACTCATTCCTGGACCGCTGTAACCATCTCCACCAGAGTGACAAAGAGGAGGTGAGTGTCCTCACTGAGAACTGTTGCAGTCCTGGGTAGACACTCCCTCTCACTGGACACTGTCCTTGGATATATGCTTGCCAGGTACAAGGACTTGTCCACAGACACCAAGAAACTGGCCCGTTTGCCTCAGCATGACTGAATGCTTTTAAACAATATGAAATCCTTCCAGGGCCAAAAGAATATCAGTGAGCATATTCAATGTCTTCTAACGTGTGTAGAGTAAGGTTATGTATATGTTTCATACTAGGAGAAATACTGGTTTTGTAACATTTAAAAAATAACTCTGGAAGAGAGAACCCTTCAAATCTCGCTAAATTTAACTTCATAGTGAGTGATATTTCATGTATAAATTTACCACAGAAGGTATCCTAGGCAGAGTACATGTTCCTGTGCTCCAGCTGTCCATTGCTAGAGCCCCTGAAGTGCTGGAGAAGTGGAAAGTCCCAGCCTCTTCTCTTTCTAGTAGTTGTCACTGCTATGTTGTTTGGGATATGGGTTTTTGATGATACTGCCTAAGGTTGGCTTTGAACTCAAGAGTCTTCCATCTCATTATCCCAAGTAGCTGGAATTCTGGGAATACACCACCACCCACCACAGTTTGCTTCCCTTTACATGAATTGCTCAGCCTCTCTATCTGGATTTTTTTTTATGCTTTTATTTTATTTTAAACAAGGTATTACATATTTTGCTGTTGTTGTTGTTGTTTACTTGTTTGTTTGTTTTTCAAGACAGGGTTTCTCTGTGGAGCCCTGACTGTCCTGGAACTCACTCCATAGACCAGGCTGGCCTCGAACTCAGAGATCCGCCTGCTTCTGCCTCCCAAGTGTTGGGATTAAAGGTGTGCACCACCACTGCCAGGCGATCGTGAAGTTATAATCCTGGTTTCATCTCCCAAGCACTGGGATTATAGGCATATACCCCCACCAGGTTTATGTCTGCAGAACCACATCCCAGCCTGAGTTAACATGGAGTTTCTTCTGGATCGTAGTATGGTGTTTTAGGCAACAGCAACACAAACTCCTTAGTTCTCTTTGCTATCTAGTGAAAGGAAAAATGGATCCATTCTTACCTAAGTAAGTCAACTTTAGAGTGAACACACGCCAGGAATGTGAGTTGTGGCTTCTCATATTCTTGATAACTAATCAGCTTGTTTGTCCGTGATACAGAACAGCTTGGCATACATAGCACGCTGTGTGAATAGAGAGCCGTGGATTCTGCTCTTCAGGGCCTGACAGGTTCCTGGGGATACTCGGGCCTCTGTCACTATGCCAGTTTCTTTCAGACCAGACCTATGCTCTTCTGTATGCTATCAAACTTAAGAGAAACCACCATTTCTTAGTCTTGGGAGGGACTTGGAAGAAGTCATTTAAAAGGCTAGTAAAATACACATATTTGATAGGCAGAAAGGGGATACTGTTTGGAAGGATGTGATTTTGCATGTCTTATGAAAGGGAGACTGACAGGCTCTGTATCTTTGTTGGGAAAGAAGCCGAGAAAAGGCCTGTGCTCAGCCCTTTTAGGGTCACTGACACTTGAGACCCCTTGCCCTTACTGTACAGTGGGCTTTCTATGTTTGACATTCGTATATTTAGCTCATATAGGTATATGTCTCTAATCTCAGTGCTTAGAAGATGGACACAGAAGGAATAAACTTCACATTCATCTTTGACTACATAATGAGTTTGAGACCAGCCTGGGATATGTAATACCTTAATGGTATTGTCCATAATATGTAGTATGAAGCCTCTTGAGAACCAGCATGCTGGAGTTCTGAAGGCGAACAGGCTGCTGTGATTTGTGATGTTACTGATGTAGAGCTGGCCTTTTATCCAGTAATTCTTACCACCTTCCTCTTAGCGCTTGTGTGTGAGGCTGCATCTCTGCTCTTGTCGAGGTGGACACTGTCACGTCCGTGGTTTCCCTGTTACAGGATCACTGCTGGATCATAAGTGCAGTACAACTGGGAAACTGGCTCAAAAAAGGACCCAGTTAACAAAGTGCATTTGAACGTAGGGAAGGATCCCATTCTACAGCTTTTGCCTTTGCCTTCAGGGCCCTCCCTGAGTGGTGAAGAGGGGAACCTTCTCCTGCTGAGTCTCCAGCACCATTCCCACCTCTTTTCATGGGGCAGGCAGGAATGCCCCAGTACAGGTTTTCCTGACAAAGTGTAGAATGACAGTCATTATGATGTCCTGATTTTGCAGTTGAATTCTCTGAAAAATAATAGAATTCACTAGCTGGGCATCGGTGACACATACCTTTAATACTAGCACTCAGGAGGCAGAGGCAGGGAGATCTCTAAGTTCGAGGCCAGCCTGGTCTACAGAGCAAGTTCTAGGACAGCCAAGGCTACACAGAGAAACCCTGTCTTCTTGAAAAACCAAAATCAAAACAAAACACCCAACAACAACAAAAGGAATTCACTTAATTGGAGTTCAGAATTAGTATTCTCTCTCACCAAAGCTGATTGCAGCCTCTCCTGTGTTAGTCCAGATCCACTAGGTACTTATCTTTGATAGAGTAGGTATTTAAGATGCTGATGCTAACCCACAGGGACCTGGTCTCCCTCAGAATGTTCATCACTTGGAATAGGTTGTCTGTTTGCCAGAGAGGCAGGGTTCAGAAGCTCCTGATGGCTGTCCACTGATCTGAGGACAGGTCCTGCTGGACCTAGGCTTGCTAAGTAATGTATGTCTTGTTTCCACATAGGTCCCTGTGTTCCTGCTTTTCTTGGACTGTGTCTGGCAGCTGGTGCAGCAGTATCCCCCGGCATTTGAGTTCACAGAGACATACCTGACTGTTCTGTCAGATAGCCTGTATATACCTATTTTTAGCACCTTCTTCTTCAATTCACCTCATCAAAAAGATACTAACATGGTAAGAGTCCTTCTTAAAGAACTCTGTGCCAAAGAAGCTGCATCTCACAGACTCCCTGCATAACCGTGACTCTGAAAGTGACATGTATTCACGGTGTCCCAGCTGTCCCTACCTAGGAAAGTCTTTAGTCCTTGTAGCACACTCTGTTACATACTGTTATCCCAGACGAAGCTTGAAACACATTAAGTATCGAGCCCAAGAGTATATACTGCAAGTATTAAGATAAAAGTTAATTTTGGTGTTTAGGAGTTAAGCCAAATTAAAAGTTATCCTTTTTAAAGGTAGACCAGATGTCCTCTCTTCATTACCTTAATGTCTAGAGTTACTCTAGGGCAAGAATGGATGCCTGGAGAACAAGATAGCTGGGCTTTGGCGTTGCACCTGAAAGCCCTTTGGTCCCGACTCAGCCTGTACTCCAGGTATCTGTTCATCTCTGTGACTTCATCCAACCCTCTCCTGCTTTGTGACTGACTTTTTGAGTTGGTAGATTGTCAAGTCCCAGGAGGAAACACGAACACCGGAAGCTGGTATCTTAGACAGCCCTGGGTTCAGGGACAACCTCAAAGCTTGACAGCTCCATACTCTCAGGCAGGTCACTTGTGTTTTCTTAGCTTCAGTTTCCTCACATGTCAAATACGGGAAAGTAGGGGTTAACTCACAAGGTTATTGTGAAGGAACCCAACCTTAGAGCTGATGCAGACCTCTGGAAATAAGGGCCTTCCACCATCCTCCCTGCTAAGGGTATGAACCCAGCCTTAGAGCTGATGTAGACCCCTGGAAATAAGGGCCTTCCACCATCCTCCCTGCTAAGGGCATCTACCTTGAGAAACACAGTGCCTACACAGGCATTCATTCTCAGTCCCAGCAGCACGTTCTTCCTGAAGCCTGTTTCTGAGAATGTGTGTTTGCGTTCCAGCCATCCCTGGAAGCTGTACTGACCTATGCTTGTTTTGGCAGGGTAGGGAAAGCCTGGATGCACAAAGCAAGCCTTTGACTCTGCTCACCGTGTGGGATTGGTCAGTACAGTTTGAACCCAAAGCACAGACATTGCTCAGAAACCCTCTCTATGTGGAAAAGCCCAAACTGGACAAAGGCCAGCGGAAAGGATCACGTTTCAAAGTAAGATGTGCTGTCTTAACCCCACCCTACCCCCATCCCCACCAGCTCCTCCGTCCCGTATATGTGAGGACAAAGGCTACTTTATGGCTCTCTCTGTTGGCGTGTTACCTCTTCAAGTGGCGTGCAGTTGGGGTCCGTGGTGCCCTGTACTTCAGCCAATCCACCTTTGCTTTAATGAGACCTGTGACTGAGGCTGAGGCTACTGTGATCACAGTTGTGCTGCGTGGAGTTGTACCTCTTGCCCTGTCTCAGTGTGTAAGGTAGACAAAGGGAGCATTGATCAGGAAGGGTTTACCACCAGTTTCTAGTTCATATAGTTCATAGCAAGACTTTTTCTTTGTTTTTAATAAAAACTTTACCATTTTATTTTATATTCATGTATGTTTTACCTAATATATGTCTGTGTACCACATGTGTGTCTGGTGTCCACAGAGCCCAGAAAAAAGGGCATCAGATGCTCCAGAATTGGGCTTATAGTCAGTTGTGAACCTCCATGTGGGTGCTGGGAATCAAACCTGAATCATCCAGACGATCAGTCAGTGCTTTTACCCACTGAGCCATATCTCTCTAGCCCCAAGACTTTTCTTCATAAACCTATGAACTGAGAGTGGTAAGCATTGTGTCAAGTCTGTACTGTCCCCAGCTCTACCTACTCTACTGCATGGGATAGCTGTGTCCCAGTGTCCTGCCGTTGTCATCCTCCAGCTTTGACCTGTGGACTAGAGCTTGCCAGCCTGTACCCTAAACCACAGAAACAAATTCTTATTTTCCTTTTAGATAAATTTGTTTCTGATTTTACTTATTATCATGCCCCAGAGTTCTCTAACTGATGCACAGTTTAAACAGCATTCCTGGTCTGCATTCTGTCACCTAGCCTGGAATCTCTTTCAGATCCCTTAGGCTCTCAGAGCCCATAATGATGGCTGCTCTATACCTGTGCATGTCATTAGTTTTCCCACCGCTGTCCTGCCTATCCTGCCTGATTCTCAGGGCCTCTAGGAGCCTCACCAGTTCCAAGTGTGGGACGAGGTTCTAGTCTAAGGAAGGTAGGATGCAGGTGAGCCATGGCCAGCACTCAGAGACAGTGTCAACTGCTGGGCATTAGACCTGCCATGTCACCTTTTCTGCTGGTAAGAGCAAGACTGCTTGCTGTATCTCAGCCAGAAATGAACTTTTCTGTGGTGTGCTATGCCCCCTGGTGGCAGCCTGCATGTCCTCTGGAGAGCTGGACTAGAGTCACAGAGCTGACTGGTACCTGTGGGGCAAGGAGCAGCTGGGACAGCTAAGTATCCCTTATCTGATGTCCTCACTGTCTCTTCTTATAGACAGTGGCAGATGATGTCCCTCTAGGAGTGGTTGGGAGGGAAGTTTCGAGCCAGAGGACAAGAGGATTGCAGGCTGTGTAACTGAGGCAGAGTGGGGGTGAGCAACATTGCAGGGGCTGACACGAAACTGGCTGTATAATCCAAGCTAGCCTAAGCTCCTGGCGGTCTCTGGCCTCAGCCTCCCAAGCATGGAGTTACAGGCATCAGCCACTGCTTACAGCGCTCCTCCCTCAAGTGAATACCTTGAGAACAGAAGAACTGGCAGAAAATGCCATCTCCTACATTTGTACCCTTTCCTTTGAGCATCAGTGAATCCCCACAACCTCTGACCTATCTTCATAACCCTCTCGTGGTGTACCCAGAATGTAACACCTAGCTTTGTTCCTGAGAAAGCTAGCAAGCAGAAACAAAACTTAAATGTTCTCATGTTTCCTGCTCTGAGCAACCTGTCAAACAAGAATATCTGGCCAAGCGAGCCCATTCCTCTTAGCTACTGCCTCTGCTCCTATTGCCTGTTGCCCTTGTTCAAGAGAGACATGACTTAAGCTAGAGCGCCACTGAGTGCCTGATAAACTAAAAGGTTATTTTGTCCATGGGATAATATCTTCAGTACTGACGCCTTGAAGATGTACAGAACATTCTGTGGTTAAGAGTTCTCAAAATAAAATGAAATAAAATCAGTGCCTGGAGTGATGCACACCTGTAATGTCAGTGATTGGAAGGCAGAAGCAGAAGAATTCCAGTGCTCCTGACCAGACTGGTCCACACAGTGGATTCCAGGCTGGCCAAGGCTATGCCCCAGAACCGTGTCTGAAAAAGCCCTCAAGGCTGGCCTAAATCATTAACTTGTGTTAAGCTGGTTCCTGCAAAGTACTTTGTGTCTGTTGGTACCCTTCTTATCAGAAGGACCAGTCTGTCCCAGCATGCCTTTGTGTTTCTCTCAGTGACTGATGGTGTATCTCATACAGACCACTCACTGCCACCATAACAGGAAGTGCCTCCTATGTGCTGCAGCATGTCTCTAACACTGCTCATAGCAGGATGGTGATGCTCATTAGTAATTACCATTACTATTATTATTTTAATTAAAATAACTGTCACCTTTTCTCCTAACCAGATACTCTCTTGTGTTTTCTTTCAAAGCATCAACGACAACTTTCTTTGCCACTTACCCAGTCTAAGTCATCTCCCAAAAGAGGATTTTTCAGGGAAGAAACAGATCATTTAATCAAAAACCTTCTAGGCAAGAGAATTAGTAAACTTATTAACTCTTCCGATGACCTCCAGGACAACTCTCGAGAGTTCTATGACAACTGGCACAGTAAGCCCACAGACTACCACGGCTTGCTGCTGCCTCACATCGAGGGGCCAGAGATCAAGGTGTGGGCTCAGCGCTATTTACGCTGGATTCCAGAAGCCCAAATCCTGGGTGGTGGCAGAGTGGCCACTATGGGCAAACTCTTGGAGATGATGGAGGAAGTGCAGAGCCTACAGGAGAGGATAGAGGCAAGGCACCACAGGCAGGAGCCCGTCCACGCCCAGGCACCCAGCCTGCTCAGGAACTCTGCCCGCCTGTCCTCCTTGTTCCCCTTTGCGCTGCTCCAGCGACACTCGGCCAAGCCTGTCTTACCCACCAGTGGCTGGAAAGCTTTAGGAGGTGAAGATGACCTGGCCAAACGAGAAGACGAGTTTGTGGACCTAGGGGACGTATGACCTGTCTCCTCAGGGACTGTGAAAGAGGCACACTGTGCGGTGGGACAAGCCCAGTGCTGTGGAGGAGAGAGCAGAGGCTTTCGGGAAGAGCTTATTCTCCTTTCTCCACAGTTCTGGAAGACAGCACAATGAAAGCCATGCCTCTGGTATGCATAGGAGGGAGTTCCTACTTGACCTGTCATAGGATTCGGGTCGTTTCCTGACATCTGTATTATATGTACACAAAATGGCTCCTGGCCAGGCTGCGGTGAGCTTCCTTCTGTTTCTTCTGTGCCAAGATAATTAGGTAGCTACTTCGAACAAGAGCAAGGGCAGCCCTCTTTGGGTCTCTAAGTGGAGAGACAGTGGTATTAAGAAATGTGCTTTGACTTAAACCATATTCCTTGACTTTAACCATACACACACACACACACACACACACACACACACAGCACATAGAAAAGTTGGACAGTTCTGCTGGTGTCATCCATCCTAACACTCAGTCCCTCCTTCCTGTAACAAGGCACAGGGTATGGCAGGGCAGCCACCTTCCCTTTTCCTTTGCTGTCATTCCCACCTTTCCTGTCCCGTGCATTCTGTGAGTCCACCTGGGTGCACATCGTCCCAGGGTCCTGCTGCTGTGACCTGTTGAGTAAGCTGAGGGCAGTCCTCTGTCTTCCACAGGGGGCTCACTCCTTGGAGCCCTCGGTTTGGACCACACACACTTGGGCCATCCACTGGTCCCTTGCCTTCCCCATTACCCTCACAGCTGCTGGGGCACGCAGGTCAATTTGAATGTGGCTTTCACAGGAAAGCAGTCGTGTCAGAGCAATTATCACAGGATGCCTCAGTGATTTAAAAAGCCATAGAAAAAACTCAGCTCTGCCTAGTCAACTTGGATCTGCTGTTTTAAAGTTATATATTTTTTTAATGTTTGAAAGCATACTTTATAAGGCTCAGTCCTATCATCATTCTCAACAGAGCCCTGTCCAGTCCCACAAAAGGCGTGGTGAGTGGGAGTCGGGGAGGGGCCTCGTTGAGACTGCCTCAAGTGTTGGCCTTTTATCTATATTTGCTGGTCAGGAGAGGTCCTGTTGAGGACATCTCTGTTTCTCATGGGCAATAAGGCATTTTGAACCTTCAGAATCCTTTCTGATTGCACTGAATCATCTTTGATACATAATGATCCTTTTCCTCATCTCCCTCCGTAATAACGCACAGTCCTGGTTAGTGTGTCTGTGTCTTCGCGCGGTGTGTTGAGGGGAGGTCAGGATGTGTGTCTGGGGCCAAATGCACTCAGTCTCGGTTGCCTTAAGAGTCTTTGAGGCCAGGTCCGTGCTAGGCTTGCACTAGGAATTGAGGACACGCCGGGTCCTTAGCTCCCTTCCCTTGCATTCCGCGGGCTCTCCGCACTGGCACTGACCACTGCGTCCTCAGCCTCTGCTTCCCAAGTCCTCAGCGGAGAGAACTATTTTTGTTACCTTATTATAACGTGAGTATTTATATGGGAGCCTCTACAGTCTTAGTGATTTTCTTTCCAAAACATACCTCTTGTGATGTTTTATACTTCACAAAGTATGGTTTAAAGGCACAAGGTCATGACCCTTGTTATAGCAGTTGAATGTGCATTGAAATATTTTTCTATGTATTTTTAAAAATCACAATAGAAAAAGTAAACAAGCTGTTGCAGCCTGTGCAGTTATGACAACTTATGTATTTATATTTGAAGCAAGATTTCTATAACTTGTATTTGTGTACAGAACTTCCCGTGGGTTTATATATTGTGTATTTTTATTCAAGACTGAGATGTGGATTATGCTTAACATTAAAGATAAAATAAGACCATTTGTTGAAAACACACTGTGCAAGTTTGGAAGTGTCTGTTAATAATTTACTGTATATAATACTTGCATTTGTTTATACCTCCAAGTTTTTACACTGAAGATAAACTAGCTTTAATTAAATTTTTAAAATGTAAGGAAATAAGCTGTTTGACTGAGTCAGTTTAAATGTGCAGTTTATTTTCTGGGTGTTAATGAAAGTTTATACCTGTCTCACTGCATGATAGCTGACTGAAGAGATTAAAGCACAACTTTGAAGCAGCGTCATGACTGATGTGCGCGGTCTGACTCCTGGTTTACCCTTCTCATTCACTCAGGACATGATAGACGACGTGTCCTGGGTTCTGGCAGGCCCTACTGCAGACAGAGCCCTGGGAAGCTCAAGGCTGTACTTTCCTGGAGCTCCCATACTGCCATTCTTTTCTCCTCTCTGTGTATATGTGTGTGTATGTACATGTATGAACACTCATGTGGTAATAAGCAACAAGCATCCAAACAAATACTTAAAATTCCAAATGATGATCAAATGTTTTGAAGAGGTAGAGGAGCTGGTCACCAAGCCTTGTGACCCTAGTTCAGTCCCCAGGACCCAACAGAAAGAACTGACCCCTGTAGGTTGTCTTGTGACCTCCACACATACCCTCTTGTCTGTGGTCCCCAGACAAAATAAATAAATGTGATGTCTAGTGATCTGAAGAAAAGGTAATTGGGGTTTAGGAGCCCTCCAGGGTGAGCGAAAGAAAGGGCTTTTGTGTCCTTGGGAGTGAGCTAGTGCAGTGTCTTTGCTCTGTGGCGGTCTCAATTTTGTTTCTTGATGGAAGGGATCTGAATACATAAAGCTGAGAAACTGTTTTGTTTTTCCTTCCAGATGTGAAAGGTGAGCTTGTCCTGAGCAGATGACCTAGAATAGAGTTTTACGTAGTTTATTTTGTTTAGCACTGAGTTGGAGCATGTTGCTTGTTTTGTTGTGAGTTCTGTCTCTTTGACCTATCCCACCTCCAGATCCGGCTTCAGTGCCTTTGCTGGTCCACACCTAGGACACCCTTCCTATTCTGGCTTACCTCCTCTCCTGTGTCCAGAAAGCCAGCCTTTCTTGAGATCTCCTGGAATCTAATAGGCTCTTGTTGCCACTCAGACTTATTTTATAGAGACTGACTGACTTTTGTTTGCATGAGTGTTTGCCTGCATGTGTGTTATATATGTGTACCACGAGTCTGTCTGTTACCTGCAGAAGTAAAAAAGAGGCCATCAGATCCCCCTGAACCCGAGTCACAGGTTGTTGTGGGTGCTAGGAACTAAACCCAGACCCTCTTTGAGAGCAGCAAGTTTCCTTAACCACTGAGCCATCTCTGTAGCAACTCTCCCTCAGCCCCCTTCCCAGACTTCTGTCTTAGATATCTGTGTTAGATTCTTAACTGGTTAAGACCCTGGAGAGTCACAACTTTCTTATTCCTCCATCTCTCAGCCTTGTACAATCTGCAGTCTCTCAGTTTTGTTCCTTTCTTGGTTTTGGCCAAGGGTGTGGAAAACACTTACTGAAGGGATACAATGGAGCATTTCCTGTCAAGAAAGAAGGAGAATGGGAAATGGTTCCTGTTGAGAACTAGCCCTGTGCTTCGCGTCTCCTCCTGTCCGTTTATGGGACAGACTGTAGAAACAACCTGCCTAAAGCCCATTTTCTGAGCTCCTCTGGTCATAGTCAACGAGACTGTTAAGGCTATGGTTACACCATTACTGTGGCTCATATTTGTAATGCCATCCTTGGGGCAGGACAGATTGGAGCCAAGCATCTGGAATCGCGTGCACATGCACGTACACAGAACTTCAGGGCTTGTGTGTGCTGCCATTTCCAGAGAGCTTTAACTGAGATAGGAGGACCCACCTTGAGTGTGGGCTGCAGTAGTCAATGGGCTGGTGGAACCTAGGCCGAATTAAAAAGAGAAAGGCAGCCAAGCACCAGCCATCCCTGCTTTCTGACTGTTCACACCTGTCCAGCCACCTGATGTGCTTGCTGCCATGATGGCCTTGTACCTTCAAACTGTGAGCCGAGATAAGCCTCCCCCCACCCCCACTTTTTGATTGGGTAGGGAGGTATTTTGTACTAGCATCAAAGACACTAATAGATCTATCAAGAATCTCCCAACACCCCCTGCTGAAGTTCATACACCACCCTGGAAAAGACTAGGATAGGAAAAGGAGAAGGGTCCTGTTTGGCTGGATTCCCGTTTGCCAGAGCCATATCCTAGTGTTTATGGGTGAGATTGAGAGCCTGACTGACCAGGGTAATGTAGTCAGTGTTTTGTGTGTAATTTGCATGTCATTTGAATATTCAAGAAAGTATCTTGTTCAATTGATGGTTTAATGCTTTAACGACAGACATTAGTAGCCTACTTTAGATCATAGTCTTGTCTTCAGTAATTAAAGGGTATGAAGTGTATAGTCATGGAAATTGTGAGCCTTTTGGCCACTTACAAAAAAACTTTATAGTCTTATAAGACAAAAACAAAACCCTCTTCACAGCCGGGAGATGGCAGCACACAACTTTGATCCCACCCACCACTTAGGAGGCAGAGGAAGGCAGATCTCTTGAGAGTTTAAGGCCAGCTTGGCCTATAGAGTTCCAGGATAGCCAAGGCTATACAGAGCCTAATTTGAAAAACAAAACAAACAAAACAAAAACATACGTGCACACACACATACCCCCAAAAAACCCACCCCTTCACAGTAGTTTGGGCCTGGTGAGGGCAGTGCTCACTGAACCCCAGAACAACAGGCACAGTGCATGCCTTTCCTGGGTAGGGAAAGAATGCAGGCATGCCACAGTTTATCCCTGTGGATACTACAGTTGTTTCAATAAGGGGACGAACGAGCCTATGTCCAAACTGATCTAGTTTGTAGTTGAATCTGCTGAGATTTCCAGGGATTCAGGTGGAGACAGGGCTGGATAAGAAAGGACTCAGTGATGTTCTGAAGTAGCAATGGCTTACGCAGTGTGTGCACCTTTAATCCCAGCACTTGGATGGCAGAGGCAGGTGGATCTCTGAGTTACACACAGAGTTCTAGGACAGCCAAGGGCTACACAGAGAAACACCCACCCACCACCCACCCCACTCCCCGCAACTAGGGGGAGTGGGCGGGTGTTTCATTGTACTTAAATTTACATCAAAACAACAGAACAAAGAGACTTGAGGTTAACTCAGTGGTAGAATACCCCTAGCTTGTGAAAGACTCTGGATTCAATCTCCAGCAAGTGAAAAGAAAGAGGAAAGGTGAAATGGGAAAAAGTAACAAAGTAGCCATTTGTCTGTCTGATGGTTCTGAGTGTGATGTCCGGAGTTACTTTGTGACAGTTGGAAAACTAAGCTGGGTTTAAGGACACCAGGTGGCTGCTTGCTAAAACAAGTGATCTAGAAGTAGCAGTTGGGCAGTATATGTGTTTACAGTACTTTCTTTATGTTTCTGTGTTAGTTGATAGGCATTTCCTTTGTTTCTTTTGAGACAGGGTCTCACTATGAAGCCCTCACAGACCTGGAACTCACTATATAGACCAGGCTGGCCTCAAACAGAGATCTCCCTACCTCTGCCTCCCAAGTGCAGGGATTAAAGGCGTGTTCCACCATGCCTGGCTATAGGTTTTGTATTTGAGAAGTTTCTAACTTAGGAACAAGTTTAAATCCTCTGAGAAATAATTGGAGACACAGGAGGGAAAATATAGACTATAGTATTATATTGTTCATTTAAGAAAGAAGAGATGCCTCAGCCTTATCAAGCTACCTGGCCCCAGAAGGAATTCAGAAAAGAGGAAAGTGGTCATGTGGTCATTTGGAAGTTGAGGAACAAACTAGAATGTTTATCCACCCCCTCCCCTCCCAGCCCTTTCCTCTATTCTCTTGGTCTCTCTGCATCATCATCTGCTGTCTAGACTACGGGTCTCGACTTTTCCACCTCTGCTTCTCTCTTGTCATGTCCCCATATACTTTCAGTGATTCGTCTTAAGGTAATCACATATTTTTTGGCTTGAATTTTTGTGTGTGTGTGTGTGTGTGGATATATCCATTAAAACTCTGACTTGCTATTATTTAAGGTACAAAGCATTTTATATGTGTGTCAAGGTAGACATTAAAGACGCTGTTTGGTCTCAGTCCTCATGGGCAGAGGAGCCTTTTCTTAAAATGTTCTTGGTCTCTCTTGAACAGCTGGGTCTCTCATCTGCTCAATCTCCAACAGAAATTATTTTCACTATAACATTCAGATTTCTGGTGAAGAGAGTTCTCAACTGGCTCTGTTTGGGGGCCCAGCTACATGGAGGATTCTGTTCCCGATGAAGTTTTCTGTACATCTTTGATTTCATAGAGAGACTTTGAGAGCTATCTTTTCATATCACCAAGTCATCCTTTGTTTTGTATTTTACTAAAAAAAAATTATTTATTTTATGTATATGAGTACACTGTAGCTATCTTCAGATGCACCAGAAGAGGGTATCAGATCCCATTACAAATGGTTGTGAGCTACCATGTGGTTGCTGGGAATTGAACTCGGGACCTCTGGAAGAGCAGTCAGTGCTCTTAACCACTGAGCCTTCTCTCCAGCCCTCTTTTTTAATTTTTTAAAAAGATTGATTTAATGTATGTGAGTACACTGTCACTCCCTTCAGACACACCAGAAGAAGGCATTGCTTCCCATTACAGGAGGTTGTGATCCACCATGTGGTTGTTGGAAATTGAACTCAGGACCTCTGGAAGAGCAGACAGTGCTCTTAACAGCTGAGCTATCTCTCCAGCCCTCTTTTTAAATTTTTTAAAATTTTTTTATGTACATTAGTGTTTTGCCTGCATATATGTCTGTGTGAGGGACATATCTTGGAGTTACACACAGTTGTGAGCTGCAGTGTGAGTACTGGAAACTGAACCCGGGTCCTCTGGAAGAGCAGTCAGTGCCCCCAACCACTGAACCATCCTCCAGCTCCCTGATTCTCACCTTTTGTAACAGTTCATGTATTTCTCCAAGTTGATGCTGGCATTGGCCTTATGAGAGGCAACAGAATACAGCTGATAAGGACCTGGGCTCCCAGAAGCCCAGTCCCTGAGTCCAACCCCCTGTTTTGTAACTTATGAAGCTTCACCTCACCTTGCTCTCAGTTTCCCGTGTGTGAATGCTCATCATTTGTGAAACCCAACTCTGGGAAGCTCTAGAGGATAAAAGTAAGTTCATGTAAAGTGTCTATTATGAAGTAAATGCTTAATACATTTAGCTTTTATTATA